AGATGCATTGTTAGGTCATTTGTTTGAGATATTTCTGAGTTTTTTTTTGTTAAGCACCTGATGTTATAAATGTCCATTTTAATGTTGCTTCTGCTACATCTCATGGGTTTTGATATTTTTTTAAATTTTTATTTTCATTTGCTTAAAATTTTTTTCTGGTTAATTTCTTCAGTGACATAGGTTATACAGTAGCATCATTTTCTTCAGGAAGCTTTTTTATTTTCAATGATACACTGTTCATTCAGTATCATGTTGTTTAACTTCATGTTGCTGAAATTTTTATTTTTCTTCCTGTTTTGCTTTACAGTTTTTCCTTTAAAGGGGTGTATGGTAACTGTATAATAGTGACTATCCTATCCAGATGTGAAGATACTCTGCAGTATGCATCTCTACTTCCAAATCAAAGATGGACTTCCAATAAGACTGTTAACTATATCTTGACAATAGGACGCTAGACTCTCTGCCAGTGTCCATCCCTACAACGTTGGGATACACTTCAATAGCAGAATGATGCACTTATGACTGTTTATGAAGGACTACACTATTGTAAAAATATAGAATCAATGCGAGGGGAAGAGGGAGACTCGGAGAGGGCTGAGAGGAAGTCCCAGAGTCTGTAGAGCTGTATCATAAAATAATAAAGTAAAGTAAATTGACTTTAAAAAGAGAAAGGATAAAATAGGGTAACACTATTTACCAACATTGTAATTAGATAGTCTATAACTCCTTACTACAACTTGTCAATCAACACTGTGTGACAGTGTTGGAATGACTGCACAGATCAATGGGACAGAACAGAAAAACCAGAAATAGATCCACCTAAATATGCCTGATCATTTTTTAACAAAGACGTGAAAGAAGCTCAAATGAGCCAGTTCAACAAGTGATGTTGGACAAATAGCAGTTCATCCACAGGCAACAACAAACAAGCAATCAATCAGCAAAATGAACCACTCACTGAAACCTTGCTACTTATGCAAACATTAACACAAAATAAACCATTGTAAGTCTTATAGCTATAAAAATCTAGGAAGGAATATCCAAGTCCTAAGGCTATCCAAAGATTTCTTACCATTGACTTGGAAAGTAAAATTTAGAATAGAAAATTTGATAAATTTGGGTGCTTAAAAATAAATTCTAAAAATTGAACGTTGCTTTGTGAGAGGCTCTGTAAAGAGGGTAAAAAAATGAATCAGAGAGACAATCTTTGGAAATCACATATCCATCAAGTATAATGACAGAAAACTTAAAGAAAATGTTTCATTTCAACAGTTAAAGAAAAAAGACAAATTAGATGCCATTACCACCATTTGGGGGCCATGAGCCAACATGTACAAGGTGTGTGTGTGTGTGTGTGTGTGTGTGTGTGTGTGTGTGTGTGTGTGTGTATTCTCTCGGATGCTCTGCCTTTCAAATAAATACATAACTCTTTGACAAAATACCATAGGACTTCATAATTGTCTTTATTTATCCCAAAGACATAGAAACTTGGTAGACATGCACAAATCTGAATGAAGATGTATATGGCAGCTTTGTTAATAATAGTCCAAACTTGAACAATACATACACAGGTCCATCCATGGGTGAACTACAAGACAAATAGTCGCACATTGATGCAAAGGAGTGTCAACAGACAATAAAATGGGACAGACTCCTTAGACACGCAACAACCTAAAGGAATCATTAGAGAAGTATGCCATAGGAAAAGCTCATTCCAAAAGGTGCAAAGCTTCTAAGGTTCCATTGACATTCTTGAAAATAATGAAATCGCAAGCAGGCAGAACGTGTCCATGATGGCTAAGGGTTAAAGTAGAATGAAAAGAGAAGGAAGGACAACATAAGGGGCTCTAGAGGTGACACAATTGTGTACTTTACAGAAAGTGTCTATTGTGTAACGAATAGCCCAATCGTGCTACATCAGTGAAGGTGTGGACTTGCAGTATAGTTTGGATCATGTGGAGGAAGAGAATCCATGAGATTTTCTGTCTCATTTCTTTAAAACTGTGTACTAGGGGCTGGCATGGTGGCATATCAGGCTAATCCTCTGCCTGTAGCACTGGCATCCCTTATGGGCACGAGTTCAAGTCTCAGCTGTTCCACTTCCAACCCAATTCCCTGCTTATGGCCTGAAAAAAAGTAGTTCTCGGGAACCTGCACCCACGTAGGAGACCTGGAACAATCTCCTGACTCCCAGGATTGGACAAGTCCAGCTCTGGCTATTTGGGGAGTGAAAAAGTAGATGGATGATTCCTCTCTGTCTCTCCCTCTCTCTCACTGTAACTCTGAATTTCATGAAAAATAAACAAGACTTTTAAAAAAATTAAAACCCTCCTGAACTTTTCAAAAATAATAATAATAATAAAAACTAAAATGGAATTAAGCTTTTGTCTGGCTCTTTTTATTGAGCCAAAATAAGTTGGAAACCAACCTCTGTGTTGTGGGCAGGCCAGTCAGCAAGAAGCACAGGCGAGGTGTAGGCACAGGGTTTGATGCTAGTCCTACCTGTTCCCTGGCAACAGTGGCATCGAGCACAAGCCAGGGGCTTGCTGACAGATTCCCCTCCAGGCATCCTTCCAGCTGCCTTGCTCCACTTCGTGTGCAGCAGAGACGGGCTGTCCTTGGGTTTGGGAGTCCTCCTCAAAGTGCAAACTTGTCTGCCGACTAAACGCGTGGTACTGTTTTCACCCACCAGCTTTAGAGTAGCTTGCTACTAGAGCAACAGGTAGCTGGGTGGTGGGGCAGGGAGGGGAGTGGAACAGCTGTTTTGTCTATGGATATTCCACAGAAAAGGAATGGCATTTTGATAGAACCTTCATGTTACGACTGATAATATTTTTACAAGCATCATAAAATTATATCATTGGACAGTTGTAAAAACTGCTTCACTCAAATTGGTCTTAACTAGTGATGCTTTAACACAGCCATAGTATGACCACATTACAAATTGGATATGTCACTTGCTCAACAACTCCATGCCACTTAGAGGTAATAAAAAACGTAGTTTTGATACTAAACTGGGATGGCTGAGATTTTTAAAAATTTATGGTACAGATTAACTAAGATTCTCTTAGAATACCTAAGAAGCATATGCTTCTCACTGATTAATAGGTTATTTCTAAATTATCTGTTATGATTTATGACACATTAATAAATGTACTTTTACAATTATAACTGATTAATACTGTCAAACCATCCACTTACTTCCTCTTACAAATGAATTGGACAAGCTCTCTCCTGTGTCACTGTGCATTTCAATTTTGCTGTAATACTCTGTTACGTTTAACATGCCGGACACAAGACCAAATACAGTGCTGGCATAGTAGCATAGTACATTATGCCACCTCTGTGACAATGGCATCCCCATATCTGACAGTGAGCTTCAGCTCCAGCTGCTTCACTTCTAATCTAACTTCCTGGTGATGTACTTGGGAAAGCAGCAAATAATAGCCCCACCGCTTTGGCCCCTGCCACCCACATGCAATTCCTGCTTGGCTTTGACCCGATCTGCCTCAGACTGTTGCATCCATCTAGGATATGAATCCGTGGACAGAATCAACCTCTCTCTCTCTCTCTCTCTCTCTCTCTCTCTCTCTCTCTCTCTCTCTCTCTCTCTCTCATCACTCCACCTTGTGATAAACAAATATTTTAAAAAGAAAACAAGGTCCAAAACCAGGCTAGTAATAGATAGGGAAGGGTCATTTTTCTGCTTCCTATTCATGTTTCAAATGATCGCTGTTATCTGGAACACTGCGTTCCCTCCTAGGAATTCCTGATTTAGGAATTACAATAGTAACAGGTGGGGGAGGGCTTTTGGACAGTCCACGGGGGCGGGGGGAGTAGGTTAGGTTTTACTTTCGTCCTTGTCTTTTAAAACATAAAACGACCATATCATATTACAAAAACATTATTAAAAATGGTAACCCTAACAAACAACCCGTTTTAATTTTTCCACATTTTGTCTTGAATTCTGACAAGATAAATTGTTTTGTGTGGTGGAAAGCTAGTGTTCGTAAGATTAGTATGTAATCCTCATTTCACCCTTCCCTTTGAATCAGAGCCCCTTTTGTATTACTTTGCCCCGTAACTATAGAGAACCAAAATAACTAAATTTGCCTTAGATTTGCCCTGGTGTCTCATACTTTTTGGCCATAGAAACGCTGGCGAATCATTGGATTGACCATACATCTTGTTGACTCCATTAACTCTTTTTCGGGTCATAAAAACACTCCCCATGCTCTTAACATGGGTAATATACACTCCTCCATCCGTGGACCACATTAGCCACGAACAGGTGCACGGCCCCGGCCCGGCGCGTGACGCTGAAGGCCAGCAGGGGGCGCGTCAGCGCCGGGGCACAGGGCGAGGGGCCGGGGGCGTGGCTTCTGCATCCTTGATGGACAGCTAAGGATGCAGGCGAAGATGAGGTAATAGCAGCCTGCCGAGGAGGGCGTGGGGGTGCGCGCGTGTGTGCACGAGCCGGAGACCCCCGAGTGCCTCGGACCAGGCTGTGCAGAAAAGACAGGGAGGAGGGAAACCCCATCTTGGAAAAGGAGGCTGCGAAGCGGTCCGGGCGCCGAGCCATGACGGGGGGCACCCGTGCACCCAGGGACAGGGGGATCCCCCGAGGGCGCGGGCGCGGGCTTGCCTGGGCGCTCGGCCGGGAAGGAGCGATTCCTTCTGGAAGGGACTGAGCGGAGTCACAAGGAGGGGGAGCTCTGCCCGCGGGCGAGCCGTGCGGGGCGGGGCGGGGAGGGGCGGGGAAGGGACCGAGCGTGCCTTCCCGAGCGCGGGCGCGCGGCGGGAGCCCACCCCGGCGCCTGCAGAGCCCCGCGGCGCAACTGGTGCAAGCGCCGGCTCCTCGCCTCGCCGTCCGCGCCAGCTCGCGGCCGCCGGGGGCCGGGGCTTTGCAAGGCGCCGGCCTGTTTGCAGAGAGCCGGGGATTTGCATGAAGCGACTGGATCCTGCCGAGCAGCGGCTGCAGCGGCGCACCCGGGCAGCGGCGGCGGCGCGCAGTCCCAGCCAGGCGGCCCCGCTTTCCGGGCCCCGGTGGATGCGTGGCCTGGGAGGAGCCCATGGGCCGGAGCTGAGGCTGCCCGGGGCGTCGGGGCGCGCGGCGAGGGGCGCGGTCGAGGCCCGGAGGCGGCGGCGCAGGAGGAAGCGGAGGAGGTCGGGCACGCCGGGCTCGGGAGGCGGTCAGCGCAGCGCCGCCGCCTTCGCTGCCGCAGCCCCGGGTTCGTCATGCTCCTGGCCTCGGCCGTGGTGGTCTGGGAATGGCTGAACGAGCACGGCCGCTGGCGTCCCTACAGCCCGGCCGTGAGCCACCACATCGAGGCGGTGGCCCGCGCCGGCCCCCGCGCCGGGGGCAGCGTGGTGCTGGGCCAGGTGGATAGCCGGCTCGCGCCCTACATCATCGATCTGCAGTCCATGAACCAGTTCCGACAAGACACGGGTGAGCCGGCAGCCCCAACCTTGCTTGCCCGCCCGCTCTCGCTTCCCTGCCTACCCGAGGGTCTCCCGCCTGGTGAGCCCACCGCGGCGCACAGGTGTCACCTGAGAGGCGCTGACAAAAAGCTCCTAACTTCCCTTGATCCTCTCTGGACACGCCCCGGCCACACACGTGCGTGCGTGCAAATGGTCTTGGTGTCGTGGTTATACAAACCCAGCTTTAACCTGGCTGCTAAGAGCCCCGAGTGCCTTTCCTGCCTTCTTTTGCCCACGTCCTTTGGTGCAGAAATCCTAGGGCCGCCCCCGGCCACAAGCCTTCCCAGCCCCTCGCCAAAGCTTCCTGTTCTCGCATGCTTGGCTGCTCTCAACTTGCCTTACGTGTGCGCCCCAGGCACCCTTGGGCCTGCCACGCACGTCCTCCTCCCCATCCCTCCCAGAGGTGTGCTAGGTGTGCAAAGTGTAGGCGGCAGAAAGGATTCTCTTGGAGGATCCAGATGTATGGGGCAAACCACCCCACCTCCCGTGCTCCCCGACAGGAGATTCCAGAGCGTGAGACGTCCCCGTTGCTGCTCTAGCGAGTACCTCTGTGCTGTGCGCTCCAAGTGCCAAAGCAACAGATGGAGAGAGGAGGGGGAGGTCAGGGCTCGGGAATGCCTGGCAGGGAAGCCGCTCCCTTTGTCCCCAGAGGAGGAGGAGGTGGGGCAGTAGATTCCTAAGGAGAAACTGTCCGGGAGCTTCCTTCTGAAACTGCAGCTGGTCAGGGACACTCTGACTTTCCAAAGCGCTGAACTAATTCCTGTCTTCTCAGAAGAATCAAGTTGCTTCTCTGGTGGCCAGGCTCCCAGTTCGCAGCTGGGCGGCTTGGTCAGGTCACAGTCAGGAAGACAGGCTGACAGGGTGGAGGTCAGGGCGCACAGGGGTCATTGGAGGGCAGGCCACAGCTGCACTTCTTGGCTTGGTGGAGTGTATCCAGGCGCACTTGATGTTCTTGTCTGCCTTGCAAACACTCCAGTGACTCGGGAGGGGAAGGGGCTGTTCTGGAATTTTGGCTCTGCTTTCCCAAGAGGCGCACCAAGGAGCCTGGAAAAGCAGGTGTTGTGGGGGTGGCGGGGGAGGGGTGGAGGGGAGTGGAGAATATGACTAGAAGAGCTTGCTGCTCAGAGAACAGCTGTTGGGGCAGGCATCTCAGCCTCCTTGGAAAGCCCCCACATCCTGTGTGCTAATTCGGATTGTCATGGGAAAGGGGTTTCTTCCCATCCTCGTGTCCCCATCTTTAGTCCCAACTCGCAGGAATCACTTTGCCGAGGACTTTGCAGACACTGGCCAACTGAGGAGAAGAGCTTTCTGGGGAAAGGCTTCCAGGAGGGTTAGCACTCGGGCTGCAGTCTTGGTGGGGACGCAGAGTCGTAAGAGAACGAGGAAGGGGGTGGAGGGCAGTGAGTGTGGCTGGCAGAAGGAAAGGGTGGGTGCACTTTGGATGGAGGTCAGGCAGGTGAGCATAAAGAGGTGCATTAGTCCCAGCACTGCGCAGTGGAGGACAGCTTGGGGAACACAGCAGCCAGTGCACCTGTCAGGGAATTGCCATCCTACACAACATCTTTAGGAGCAGGTGTTTGTTTATAGAGTACACCTCTGGAAAGTACTGAGAGCTACTGAAGATATGAAAGATGGGATCCCCCTCTAGTACCCAGGAAGGGCGTGGTTCTTCCAGCATGGTGTCTGGCAGTGCCTTGGATGAGCTTGGCACCTGGGAAGAGTCATGGCCCAAAAGGTCCTTTTGACCGAAGTGGAACTGTAGGGAAATGTGAACTGAAAAACAGCCATTGTTCTCCCTCTCCCCAGGTCTGATCTCCATTGTGTGAGGACGGGCGGCTAGCAGCTTAGGCAGGAGCTGAGGGTGCTTGCACTGTACAGCAAAAGCCCCAGCTCCTTTAAAAGCTTCTCTCTGGGTGTGTTTGGCATTCACACTGCTTTGGTTTCAACCTCTCATTCCTGTGGTCAGCTGGTCAACCATTCCAAGCACCTTCCCCCTCTGGGCCGGGTTCTGAAGAACCTCCCCCCCCACCCCCCGGCTCAGTTTCCAAGCGTGCTGGGTCCATCAGGGAACTTGTCAACATAGAATGCAATCTCTGGTTTTCTTGGCCCTGAGCCCCCTCCTCTCTCTTCCCAGCACACACACACACACACACACACACACACACACACACACACACAGCTCCTTTCAATGCAGCTCATTGATGGGACCATGACAAGGTAGGAACTTTATACCACCGGCTTCCCAGGCAACCCCAGCCAAGCCCTGGCAATGTTTAATTAAATTACCCACCGTCCCCCAAGCCACAGTTTAAATCTGGGAACCAGAAACATCCCCATCAACAAAAGCGATATGGAAGTCCCCTGCCTGGAGGCAATTTTTCTCTCTTTTTGTTGCCTTCTCTCTGTGGGGACGTTTCCTGACGTGGACTTTTGTCCTTTTTAGAAGTTGCCCGCCCGGCTGCCAAGGCAGTCCTCAGCCTCTCCCCTCCCCTGGGCTGCGGGCCTCAGCCAGCCTGTCTCCAGGGAGATGGCTGAGGGCCTGTAGACACCCGTCTGCCCGCCTCTGTTTTCCCTGGGGCCCTGCTGCTACTCTAAGCTTCCTAGGGATCCCAACCTTTCTGCATACTCTCCTGGCCTCTTCTTGGCACATTTTGGCCAGAGAATCTGAAAGGAAGGAAGAGATGGACTGAGATGGAGGGGCTAACCCTCTTTCCCACTCAGTGGGCTCCACTCTCCACCCATCATGCATTTCATTGGCTGGGCTTCCTTCTTCGGTTGTAGAACAGTGTCTGCGGGGACTTTGTTTCAACATCACTCGCCCTGAGTCCTCCAGCAGGGACATGGGGAAGACCTAGGCTGAGAGTGGAGACACACCACTTAGGTGCTTGTCCCAGACTCACTGCTTATTGTGGAGCCATAAGCAAGCCCCTTAACTTGCCAGGTTTCCTTTTCCTCTGTAGAATGACGAGCAACCGTAAGATCCCTTCTCCTGCATTGTTTCTGTCAAGCCGATCAGCAAGTCAATGATTTGGCTCCTGTACCAGGGATGGTGCTAATCAGTAGCTTGGTGCAGAGAAGAGCTTTATCTAGGTCAGAATTTTCTGTGCAAGTTTTGCCTCCCTTAGGTCTTGAGTGTGATGAGAAGGCCTATATGGGGAAAACGAATTTAGCTGAGGATTTGACAGAAGCAGACTTTTTTATAGCCTCGACACCACAACACCCCTTCTCTGAATGAGCATGGAGGGGGCAGACACCAATTTGACCACACGATAGAGTACGCAGGAGGCACGATGTGTCTCCTTCTGTTGTTGGTGAGTTTGTGGCTAGTACATGGCAAAGCTGAGATGCAGGATTCAGTGTTCTGTGTCTGACTTTCAACTGCTGAACATGTAAGCTTGGTGCAGGCACTGTTCTAGGCATGGAGGATCTAGCACAAGGAGGACGTCTGAGTCTTTGTTCTAATGGAAGGTTCTAGTTAGGCTCAAGGTGCTGATCAGAGCGACCTGGGATTGCAAGGACAGGCCGTGGGCTGAAAGCAGTCAGTCACTTTGCATGGATGTGGATGACACGCCTGGAAGACACTGCCTCCCATTTCCCAGAGGCCTGAACATCTTGAATGTCTTAGAGTGTACATGTCAGAGGACTGGGATCTCTCTCTCTCTCCCACTTTGGTTTGTAAGCATCCTCTGTCTCTGTCCTATTACACAGCTTTTCCTTATGTCACTGTCTCTTAGGCAAGGTTAGAACTGGTCCTCATGGCATCTAATATGTTGTCCTGATTATACAGAAGTCCAGGACTAACAATGCCCCCAAATAGAGAGTCTCTTAAAATGATCAGAGAATGAATTCCCACCCTCTTAGATCTCTGTCCTGTGGGATAGTTCTAGGGTTAAACTCAACTCAACACTTTTTCTCCAAAAATGAACCCATGCCTGTTTTCTGCTAAATGGCATTAGCATTTTGCCACATTCCCATGGTTAGAACCACAGGATTCTTTGACTCATTCCTTCACTCAAGATCTTATTTGGGTGCCTAATACAAACAGGCACTTAATATGGGACCCAACAGGTGTAACTTATTGTGTAGGATATAAACCCAGGATAGTCATTCTTAGGCAGATGCTGGGGTCTTGGACCTGGAGATGCTAACCAATTAGTTGAGTTCAGGGCATTTCCAAGCCACACCCCCGGAGATTCTGAAGGAGGCAGCTCTCGCTTTGAAAAGTATTCAGTTACTCCTGGTCAAATGTTACCCATTTCTTCCCAGTAGCGTTGCTCTATTTTGTCACCTCTTTGTCTTTTTCCTGCCAGCAGCCTTCTACTCATCAAGAACCTAATTAATAGAAAATCCTTGGTCTTGTCATTTCTTTTTAGCAAGGTCCACTGGCTCTCCATTGCTGCAAATTAAATCTGTCACAGCCTGGCATTCCAGACCTTCTATTCTCCAGCTCTAACGGCCCTCTCCATGCTTATCTTCTTATACTCTCTGTTCCCACCAAGCAGAAGACTGATGAATTCCCACCCTCTTAGATCTCTGTCCTGTGGGATAGTTCTAGGGTTAAACTAAACTCAACACTTTTTCTCCAAAAATGAACCCATGCCTGTTTTCTGCTAAACGGCATTATCATTTTGCCACATTCTCATGGTTAAAACCACAGGATTCTTTGACTCATTCCTTCACTCAAGATCTTATTTGGGTGCCTAATACGAACAGGCACTTAATATGGGACCTTATTTCATGTGCCCCCTCAGAGTCCTCCTCACTGTCAGCTTTTCATCAGGTTCCTGCTACTAAAATGCATTGCTGTTTTACCTATTGAAACTGTCTTTCATGGTAAGTCCTGCGTTGCTTGTCATCCATTTTTTAAAATGTTCCTCAAGGCATCGTTACTTCATTTACTCAATATGTATGGAACCCCATAAGACACGCCAGGCAAGGGAGATTTGGTGGTGTTCACACAGCTTGATGCTTTCTCAAATGGGGTTGAGAATCCTAGTGGGGGAGATAAAGTAGCCACTTCAATAGATGTGTAAGTGCGTATTGAGGTGAATCCATTATGAATGTCTAGATCCACTTATGTATATGTACACACACACACACATACATACAAGAGTTTGACCTGGCCGGGGTAGCCCTAAGAGACTTCCTTGAGGAAACGGCTTTAATCTGCAGGCTGAGCAGTGAAGAGTATGTGGGCGTAAGGATCAGAAAGACGCTCAGAATCAGAGAAATGGGAAGAGTTGAAGACCTGTATGTCTGAAATGTAGCAGATGGCATTAGAATGTGAGAGGGCGGCAGAGGTTGGTGGGTGGAGGGCCTTTCAGTCCTGACTTTAGGGGAAGTCTTGGAAGGGACTTGGTCAGGGAGGGGATGTGGTCAAATTTCCTGCCAACATGCACTTGTTGGCTTATTTTTCTGGCATATTCTGCCTCACAAATAGTCGCACAGTGGTCTTCTCTCACTGGCTTACACGGTACGCTACTTGAGGAATGCCTGAATGTTGCATTTCTCGCAGCAGCTAATGAGAACTCGGCAATAAGTGATAAATGATTTAACATCAAAGTAGTCAGAAGTCTTCAATCAATTACAACACAGTTCATGGAGCTCCGTAATTGCCAGGCCTTCCCTTAGGCACTAGGCTGTGAAGAGCCATGCAACAGTACCCCTGTGCCTGCATAAGGATTACAGCAATGTACCAAAACAGATGCACATCCGGTGTGGCCAGGAGCTGCATTCCAGATGTCACCAGATCGGGGCCTGGGCTGAAAGAACATTTCAAAGAGCAGAAGGCAAATGGCGTAGAACCTGAATGACAAGGAGACTTTGAGTAACAATAACAAGGGGTTGTGTTTCTGTGGAAGGTACTTAGAGGATAGAGGGAGTGAGGCATGGAGCACTAAGGCAACATGTAAGGATACCAGGCACCTCTGATGGGTTGGAACAGAGGGCAATACAGGGGACGGAAGAAGAGCAGTCTGCAAAGGTAGATGGTGGGGCATTGTTTCTGGATGTTCCAGGACAACCCTCTGGCATCTGCAGGATTGACAATAGTATTGTTCAAATGTTGCCTTTTAAGCCCATTTTCGAGAATGGGTCAAGTGCATTATCCCTGCCCTGAATAGAAAACTGCCATCGTGCCCCATAAAGTCTCTAAACGTAATTTCCTCATCTGTGAAGGGTGTTTCATAGGCCTGTCATGAAGATTTTATGGCTGGGATATGTGACATCCTTTGCAAATAGTGAAGACTGCAACTATGGGTTCAATAGAGCCCTCCCCTCTCACATGTATGCCCACATCATTCCCTAATCTAAGCTTCCCCATGCTGCCACCATCCTGCTTAGACATAATAGAAAATAAATTACAATAATAATCACCAGCTCACATTCAAGTCTTTTCCATGTGACAGGTGCAATTTCAGCGTTGTGTATTCATTCCTTCCATTAATCCTCAAATCCACCCTTTCAAGCAGCTACCAGGAACCCAAAAAGATGAGGAAACTGAGGCTTAGTCACACAGCTGGAAGGGGCAGAACCTTCCCTGTTGGACCAAAGTCCATATTCTTTGTTCTACAGCAAATTGGCCATTTAGGAAGGAAATGGAGGCTAACTAGGGAACCATTACCCACTCCGCCTCTCCTCCCATCCTGAGACCCCCCATGTCCCCTGGCAGAGGCCGGGTGCTGAATAGGGGATTGTTCTTCTTCTCCCTGTGCATCTGAATGTTGATATTTTGGGTCATTAAGGGGCTTGGAGATGGGGTGGGGGGGTTGGGTTATGACCCTGCAGAGGCCTGAATAGCTATTGTTCCTTTTCTTCCCTTCTTGAATGGGATTCTGTCCCCAATCTTGGTGTCTCCCTCCAGGATAGAGGAGGGGGTGGGTCAGAGGCCAGGGAAGGGGAGTCTTTTCCCAGCACTTTGGTGGATGGAACTTAAGCCGACAGATGCAAAGATTCCAGCGTCCTGGGAGCCCTCTCTGGCCTGCCCATGCGTGTTCAGCCTTGATGTTGACACTGTTTCTGGATTGGGACTTAAGGTGGGCAAATGACCCTCTATCCTGCTGGCTCGTTGCTTCTGTCCCACTGTCCTGGATGAAGCCTGGTCTTTTTCAGTCCCACTCTAAGACTGTCAAAATTAAGATGATGCTGCCTTTTAGGGGGCTTGAATGTCTCCATAACTGAAACCCTCAGTGCAAGTACCTTTGGAGGGACAAGGAGAGAGAGAGCATTTGTGAACACCTACTATGAATCAATGGGTTTCCTATGCCTCAGTGCAAATCATGAGGTCTGCACATGAAATCAGGCACCTTATATGTGCAAATAAGTGTTGGTTGAATGAATAAGGGAGTTGTATTTAATTTCATAAAATTCCTTGAAAGGTATTGCTATCCTGTTTTATAAGAAAGACATGACTTAAGGACCTTCCTTGGTCAGTTAGTGAATGTATTTGGTTGCTAACCATCCTCCAAACCAGAGGCCATCTTTTCTGTTACCTGATTGTGGCTCCTCTGTGTAGACCCTTGAAAAGCAGGAATGTGTCCCTGTCCCAGCTGACACCTCGGTGGTGGGCATTGTGCCTTGCACACAGTCAGGCTAGTTTATGTTTTCCTGTGATGGCCATGCTGACCCTGACCTCTCCTCTATTATGCCCCTCTGGCAGGGACCCTCCGCCCAGTTCGCCGCAATTACTATGACCCATCCTCGGCCCCTGGGAAGGGCGTGGTGTGGGAGTGGGAGAACGACAATGGCTCTTGGACGCCCTATGACATGGAGGTGGGCATCACCATTCAACATGCCTACGAGAAGCAGCACCCCTGGATCGACCTCACGTCCATCGGCTTTAGTTACGTCATCGACTTCAGCACCATGGGCCAGATCAACCGGCAGACCCAGCGCCAGCGCCGTGTCCGCCGCCGTCTCGACCTCATCTACCCCATGGTCACTGGCACCTTGCCTAAGGCTCAGTCCTGGCCAGTCAGTCCTGGCCAGCCAGCCTCCTCACCCCCTGTGCCACCCTGCTCCTGTCCACAGTGTGTCTTGGTGAGGAGTGTTAAGGCGGCGGTGACCAACGGAAGCACTGGGCCCCCACAACCCCCTGCAGCCCGCAAAAACATGCCCCCTTCTGGAGTAGTCAAGCTGTCTTCACCACCAGGCCCTGGAACCAAGCTACCGGACGGCACAGGTACCATTCGAGGCCCAGTAAAGACCGCCCCACCGCAGGTGATCCGACGACAAGTCTCCAACACGCCTGCTGGGGCCACTGCGGGCTCTCCTGCCAGCCCCCCGGGAGCAAACAGCAAGACAGGACGGGCAGCCTTGGCCACCTTGAATCGTACCAACCTACAGCGACTGGCTGTCGCCCAGTCCCGCGTACTCATCGCCTCCGGGTAGGTGCTTTCAGGTTTCCACAAAGCACTCCCTGCCCACCAGGATGAAATCTGACTTCTGAGACTGCAGAGGGACTGACCGCAAAGCTGCAGGCCCGTGGGAGCAGATGTGTTGCAAAAGGGAGGGTGTCATACTGGGTGTCATCTTTCTAGTTGAGGTTTACCGTCTTGCAAGGGTAACACCATAGAGGCCTGACTTTCTCAGTTGTGAATACTGGCAGGAACAGTCCTGATACATTTACTGTGAGAATTTTAGAGGTTAGGGATACTAAATAATCACAGGCAACGTTAATTGAACTCCCACTGCGTTCTAGTCTAGAGCCTTACCTTTTCCAATCAATGTGTACAGCTACTGAGTGAGATAGGTAGTGTAAATCCATTTTACAGAGGAACAAAATGGAAGCAGTGACTGTCATTCAAACGTTTAGGAAGCATACGCTGAGAGCCTGGATTCTGACTCTCCCTACCAAGTGGACAGCACTTTGCCCAGCACACAGTAGGTGCCCAAGGAGGGTTAGTTCCTTTCCTCCTGTTCCTCTGGAAGCTGGAGAGTGACTTCCAATCGCAAACGTAGCCCATATTTAGAGTACGCTTACTTTATGCTGGACGCTTCCGATGTATTGTCTATTATTCCCATGATGACCTGGTAGTGTGGATTTTATTAGCATTGCTTTAGATTCTTCTGAATCTTCCTGATCACAGACTAGGAGGAGCTGCCCAGGTCTGTGCTACCTCTGCAGCCTTTGGCCGCCAGCCCCTGGCTTCCTGGCAGCCTCCTAGTCCCCTTCAATCTTCCCTTTGTGCAGAGGGATCTAGCCCTACCTGAGCTCCCGGTGGTCAGGACGGTGCAGAAGTTGACAGCCCCAGGCTGCCTGGAGGAGACACTGTTTATACTCAGCTTGATCTCTACACTTGGAGGTTTGGAGCTTGGAGGGAGCAGGAGCACCTTGCAGACTGGGAGGACAACCAGCCTGTGGGTATAGAGGCCTGGGCTCTACCCCTGCCTCTCTGCCTCTTGGGTGAGCCACAGGATTGTTGCTAAATCCAGCATCCTCTTATAGCAAACAGGGATGAGGTCATCCTAAAAGCCTCCAAAGGGGAGCAGCCCTTGGCAGCTCACTAGAAGGACTCTTTCATGTCACCTCATTCCCTTGCACTGGGACAGTTAGCTCACAATGAAGTTGGGCCACCCATGGGTTGCATTGTAGGTGCAGGAACCCAGATTTGGATTTCCTGGTCCTCTGTTTTTTGGGGTCTATCCCAGGTCCTCGATGGAGGAATAGACAATAGATGAATGGCTAAGGCTGGTCAGTTGCATGGGGATTTCCTGACAGCGTCTGTGCTGGCTGGCTGTACCTAACCCAAGTTCTCGGCTATGTTGCTTGGAGTAGGAGCAGTTTAGTTTCCTATCTGTAAAAGGGGAGAGTAGTACTCATGCCTTCCTTCTGGGGTTGTCTTGGGGATTGGAGGAGATACTCAGATAAAGACTTGGTGCCAGGCTTGATGTGTTCAGTCGATAGTGGCTGTTGAGTTGCTCATTATTAAAATATATATATATAGAATATATGCTGTGAACACAGCTGTTGAGTTGAAGTCTCAGCTAAGCAGGATCTGATGGCCACCTGATCTCGGGGATCCTTCACAAAGGCTGGTTGGCTCCTTTCCATCACCGAGGGAGGGACAGCAGCACCTTGCGCCTCCTTGGTTAGGAGTCATCAGGCTTTACCTCTGGCTGTTCCCTCTGCCCACCAATAGGCTTGGAGCTAGAGAGTGAGGTGGGGACCTAGGCAGTGCTGTTCAAAAGAGCCATAGAAACAAGATGAGATTTTTGTTTTGTTTTTTTCTGCACTGCAGTGTTTTCCTGACAAGGAGGGCCCTGCCTACCCTCTCTACCTTCCAGCCCTCTCCTTTTCACCTCACCACCTCCCTCACCCCACTACCATCTTCTCCTCCAGCCTTTTGTGGCTCTTTAATTGGCGTGTTTCTTCCCTTTGTCTGGCACTGCCATCGACCTTCTGTCGTCGAACTGTCCCGTCCCCCTCCCTCTGCCCATGACCTCTCCAAGCAACTTTCCCACGGAAAAGAAAAAAAAAAAAAGGAAGACCAGAGACGGTGCAGAAGTGGGGCGAAGAGACGGGGGCATTCGGAAGGGGGAACAAAAGATTCTGTAAATTATTCAAAGACACAGGCAGGGAGTTTCTAAAGCAAGGGTGGGCTGTGAGTCACCCCTCTGGCCCTCTCCTCCAAAGTTGGGGCCTCTCTGTCCAGCTAGGCCCTGGTTGCCATAGAGACCAGACCATTGTCCTGAGGGTGGAAATCCACTTCTCACTGCCCTATATGCAGACATCTCCCTTGCCCGCCCCTCACCCAGACTCCACCGCCTTCTCAGGCTTCTCTTTTCTAAGTTTTATATTTTGTGTGTGTGTGTGTGTGAAAGAAATTAAAACTTGAACCCTAGAAGCAACCCAACAGAAGGGGTAGAGAGCAGTGGTTCCTGATTGGTTTACAGGTGCTTCGGCCAGCTCCAGCTGCCTCAGAGCAGTGTGGCAGACATAAGAGGTCCTCCCGCCTGCCTGCTGGTCACTGGCTTGCTGTTTCCAGCAGGGCCCAGGCTGGGGTCCGGACTGGCTGTGCCCAGCATCAACACCATGGGCTGTTCTCTAAGGTTTTCTCTTTTAATCAGCTGCCATGGGAAAAGGGTGAGCAGGTGTTTCCAACTCATCTATCCTAAGAACTGCCTAGCCCTTACTCTGCACTTCACACTTGACCTGTATGTCCCTAAGGGCCTGAAAACAGCAGAAAACCAAGGCAGGTAAAGCCTTCACTACACCCAGTGTCCTTTGACTGTAAACAGTCACCCAGATTCACACAGACTCGGAGACTTTACCAAGAGGAACATGAATCCTAAGAGGGATCCGTGAGCAAACATTTAGGGTGCCTTGTTTGCAACTGGGGTGACTCAGACATGGTCAGAGGGGAATGGCTCCAGGACCCACCCATATCAGGGCTTAGCTAGGACCAGGGTAGAGACCCCTAAGTCCAGTGCAGGGCTGCTTCCGTTATACCCTCTGCCCTTCACACACAAATTGTTCCCCTCCTTCCCAGAGCTGGTCGACAGACCCTCTTCCCTGCCCAGGCAACACTCCAACCTGTTCATGTATACCAGCCCCTCCCCCACCCTGCCATGGGCAGCCCCCCCTGTCTCTCCAGACCTTGCCCCCAAGTCGTTGGGCTGATCTGGAGTATTTCCTGGTTGACTAGATTGGGTGTGGAAACCTGCCAGTCCAGTTTGTGGGAACAAAGGTGGCTTTTGTGACGGATCACAGCTACTTATCAGCTGGAGTGGGGGCCTTATAAGAGGAGGGTTAGGGTAGTCAGTACTGGCCCCGGTGGGGAGCTGGGGATTAGGCCACAGGAGGTGGCACCTTCACCCCAGCATCTTCTGTGCTCAGGAAACAGTTAGTTTGTGGCTTGGGATTTCTTCTTCTTCTTAGGACCTGGGATGGTAATGCCACATGCCTCTGGCGCGTACTAACCCAAGGCACTCACAGGGCTACAGATGGGGAAGTTGTGCTCAGGAAAGTTAACATATTCAGTAAGGAGCCCCTGCAGGGTTGGACCTCAGACATGGAGCCACGTTGTCGGAACCGAGTCTGTCCCTAGTTATTTGGCCCAGGGGTCCTTGTGTTGAATTCAGCGTTCCCTCCCCTCATCTGGGCTTCATTATCCTAGGGACAGCTTCCGAAGACGAGCTGCCTTTGGTGGTCTGCTGAGATACAAGCATTTTCACTTTCTGTTGCTTCACACGCTTCCCCCAGCTTGGACAGAAGAGCCAGCCCGCATCCTTAGGGACAAATGGAGTCACACTGACCCCCGTGCTCAGCCTCCAGGACCCACTCCAGCTCTCCCCTCTCCTGCTGGCAGGTTTATTCTTTACACTCTCTGAAACTCATGTTCTTTGCAAGGAGGGCCAAGGTGAAGATCAGCAGGGTACAAGGAGCTGGGTGCCTGGAGTGGGCAGCCTAGAGAATGGGCTCTGGAGCCGGATTTTCTCATCTGAAGTCCCTAGCCGTGGGGTCCTAGGCCAGTGCGCTTAGAGTCTGCATGCATTGCCTTCACCTATGAAAGGGCGTTGATGATAGTCCCACTTGCATAGGTGGCTGGGTTGTGAGCAGTGAGATTTACTTCTAGTAGGGGTGAGCCCTGGCCATGTGAGCAGTTCTAACCTGTTGGCGAAGGAGCTTTTTGTCTTGTGCCTTGGCCGTGCAGAGCTCAGTACGTGCTATTCAAAAGGACAGATAAGGACTCCTTGCACCTCCACTGGCTTTCCCACAGCACAACTGCTGACTTTTCAAGCCATCTGGCTCCCAGAAGCAGAGACCCAGTGGCCTCTCCAAGCCCAGCTGTGGGGAAAGCCTGGGTGGCAGAGGGGTTGGCGCTGACCTGAGCTCCATGAGCCCAGTGTTTTGCCAGTCAGCACTGTGGGGGGCCTGGCCTTTCCCAGGCAGCTGCGCCAGCTCCTCTCCAGCCTGCTGTGTGGCTGGGGAAGAGGACAGAAAAGGGAGGAGGCTCAGCCTGATATTCACACATTTCAGGGAAAAGGGGAAGTGACAGCTGTTCAAGAGAGGTTTCCAGATGTTGGACTGGGACTTGGTGACATCCGTATCCTCTGGAGCTTTGGGAAAATGTGTATTTGTGGACCACACAGTATGGTGGATTCTGATCTGGGGTTGAAGTTCTGTCTTGTTTTGTTTTCTTAAGTATCTTACTTAGGTGGCTCTTTTGAACTCTGTTTGAGCTTCTTTTTAAAACAAAATCTGCAACAAATACAAATGTAATGTCTCCTTGAGTCAGGCTCTGAACAAACTAGGCCAAGATATTTGCCCTTGTAGAGATGAAGTTCCAGAAGGAGAGATAAGACGTAATATTTTGCTTTAAAATATCTTAAGTTCCATGAGGGGGTAGGGATGGGGGAGGAGCAAGGTGAGAAAGTTTTTGGTGGGCTGGCATTGTGGCATAGTGGATAAAGCTGCCATCTGCAATGCCAGCATCCTGTATGGGCACCAGTCTGTGTGCCTTCTGATTCACCTTCAATCCAGCTCCATGTTAATGGCCTGGGCAAAGCATCAGATAATGGACCATTTCTGTGGGACACTGTGGGAAGCTCCTGGCTCCTGGCTTCAGCTTAGACCAGCCCCAGCCTTGTGGCCATTTAGGGAGTGAACCAGCAGATGGAAGATCTCTGTCTCTCCCTCACTCTCTCCTACTCTTTCAAATGAATAATTAGTTAATTAAATCCTAAGCAAAATACTAAACAAAAGAGAAAGTTAGTTGGCCTGCAGGTGGAATGGAGAGGCAGGTTGTCATATTAAATAAAGAAATAAGGTGGTCTCGAGAACCTCGCCATGAAAGTGAGCTGTGAGCCCAGACTTGGGAAGTGTAGGAAGTAGCTACGCGTTTCTGTGGCAGCACAGCCTCTCAGGCCAAAGGGAGAAGTAATGCAGAGGCTTTGAACAGGAGCAGGCCTGGTGTGCAGGAGGGAGATCAAGAGGCAAGAGATATCCCAGGAGGAAAGCGAGACCTGGAGATTAGCGTGGGAGTGTTGGCAGCAGGATGTTGACGGGAGCGCCACGTGGGTGTTGAGTCGATCCGTTCTCTGGGGTACCGAGTCATGGAGTGATGTGGGCTGAGGTAGGTTCGGAAGACATCCCTTTCCTCATCCCAGCTACTGTGTTGAGAACTTGCATCACTGGCCCCACTTGTCCAAATTACAATATATCTACTTTCGCCATTCACAGGGTTCCCACCATCCCAGTGAAGAATTTAAATGGCACCAGTCCTGTCAATCCCGCCCTGGCAGGTAAGACATGCTTAAAGTGCTGAAAAAAGAGTCGTGAAGTAGATGGAGAGCCGTTGTAAAGAACACCGTTTGGGTGTTCAATAAAGCAAATGAGGGTTTTAGGAATTGCATTGAACATGTAGCAAGAGTCTGGGACAGAAAAGATTACTAAAAGCAAAACCTACTATTGAAGACCAGAGAATGCACGAGTTTCTTGGAAAAGTAGAGGGTGGAGGATCTGTGAATTATCACTGTCTGCAGGGAAGAAGTGAAAGAGCGAATGGGGAGGGAGGGTTTAAGGGAGTGCTAGGAGTCGATTCCTCGGTCCTGCTTCACCCACACCCAACCCTTCCAGGCATCACCGGGATCCTCATGAGTGCTGCAGGGCTGCCTGTATGCCTCACCAGGCCACCAAAGCTGGTCCTGCACCCACCCCCCGTGAGCAAGAGTGAAATCAAGTCCATTCCAGGGGTTTCCAACACAAGTCGCAAGACCACCAAAAAGCAAGCCAAGAAAGGTACCCTCCTCGTTACTTTCTGAGAGCTCTGGAGTCTAAGATTTGTTTCCTAACTCTGTGTTCCTATCCAGGGATTTCCTCTTTGGGTCTTCATTTCTGCATCTACTATGTAGATCTGAATCGTGGGGGGTTTTTTTAGGATTACAATGAAATGGATTCTGTATGGATTGGTGGCATACTTTGAGAAACAGAAATTGATCATGCAAGAGACAGTCACAAAGAAAATGTGATACAGAGAACATAGGGTAGAGAAATAGAACTTTGATATCAGAACCCAAACTGACTTGACCCAGCCACTTGGATGCTGTGTGGCAATGTGGAAACTGTTTTCTTATCTTAGTAATGGGGTGAAAATGCCCACAGCCTGCCTTCAGTTGGTATGCCTTGCACTACATCCATGCCATTTGGGAAGCTCCCGCTGTTTTCTGTACCTCTAGAGTCTCCAGCCTCTCTGACCACGTGAATCCTCCTTCAGGGACCCTTGCCCACCTGCCTACAGGCCAGCAGCCCAGCAGGACCCTGGCTCGGCTCTGGGCTGCACTTTCTGGTCTCTATGTTGGTTGTTAGAGGATTTAAATATCCCCGTTAAGCAAGCTTTTTTTGAAGTTGAAATTGGATCTCAACAGATTTTGCACTTAGCCTGGGACCTGGCAAGAAATAAGTTCTCCATTAATAGAAGTTGAATTCTTATAAAAGAAGCAAGACAGTGGGAGAGCAGGGCCTGCTGCTTCCCAGTTTTTGGCTGTTGCATTATCTACTTCCTGCATTTTAAGGGTATAAACGTTTCCCTGCTTGGATGAACTCAGTTGCCTTGCTCCCAGTCTGGTGGGAAGTGACAGAGTTTCACACTTTCACACTCTTCCTGTTATTGTTAAAATAGCACATAGAGGGCCCTTACCTGGCAAAGTGCCTCCATTAGCTCATCACATTGTCAGAGCAATTATCTAAGACAGGTACAACCACACTTCCTCATTCTATAATGTGACAAAATCAAGATGCCAAAGAACCCAAGGTGGCACTGATCCTTCCCCCTCTGTACCTCCTTACAACGCCCTGTTACCCCAACCTCCACCTTGGTCTTGAGCGACTACCTAAGGACAGAGTCCCCAGAAAAATCCCCACATCCTTGAGGTCAGGGAACTTCATCCTTTTCCTCCTTAGGGGTGGTGTCTGCTGGCAGTCACAGCACCATTCAGGTCCACAGAGAACGTCCTGGCACTATGGCTCAAAACTTCCTGGTTTCCCGTAAAACGAATCTCATTTAGATGCTGCACTATACACTAAGGTTGGACTTAATAAATTGTCAAGTGAATGTGGCTTAAAAGCAGGTTTCCTGGACCTGGTGAGGTAGCCTAGCTGCGAAAGTCCTTTGCCTTGCATGCACCGGGATCCCACATGGGCACCAGTTGTAATACCAGAGGCTCCACTTCCCATCCAGCTCCCTGCTTGTGGCCTGGGAAAGCAGTCGAGGATGGCTCAAGGCCTTGAGACCTTGCACCGACATGGAGATCCAGAAGAAGCTCCTGGCTTTGGTTTGCCTCAGCTACGGTCATTGGAGTCACTTAGGGAGTGAATCAGTGGATGGAAGATCTTCTTCTTTGTCTCTCCTCTTCTCTGTGTATATCTGACTTTCCAATAAAAATTTAAAAATAAAAATCTTTTTTAAAAAGTAGGGTTTTTTTCAATAATAGATGGGATGGGAGGCTCTCAGGAGGGTAACTCTGAGAGGAGACTGCAGATACAAACCCCATCCCTGCCGCAGATCACCTCACTAGCTGTCCAACCACCTTTCCAAGTTCATGAGGCTTTGGTTGTGGCACCCTCAAGGATACCCAAATCCAGAGGTGTCTAAATCCCTCACGTAAGATGACATAGTATTTGCATCATCTTGTATACTGCAGATCACCTCAGGATTATTTCTCATCCCCAATGCAATATAAATGCCACATAAATAGCTGCTATGGTCAGTTTAAGAAACAATGAGAAGAAAAGTCTGTAAATGTTCGACACACGTGCAAACATTTTTCAGGATATCTGATCCATTGGTTGAATCCTTGGATGTACAGCTTCTGGACGGAGAGAGCTAACTGATCTTTCACATTCTTAAATCCAGTTATAGGCTATGCTTTGAACTTGACAAGTAATTCACCTCTGTGACCTGCGTACGTGACCAGGCTGTTTGATCCCTCCCCTCCACCTTGGTTGTCCACTAAGCCTCCTGTCTCCACAGGTAAAACTCCAGAAGAAGTGCTGAAGAAGTATCTGCAGAAGGTCCGGCACCCACCTGATGAGGTGAGTAGAAGGGAAGGGAGGCAGGGTTAACCTCTTCTGTTATTCCAGAAGTTTTCTGTAGGAAACAGGAACTGCTTTCCAGCCCTGACCGGTTCAGAGCTGGTCAGAGCTGATGCTGGAATCCAAGGTTTGTGGTCCAGAGCCTCAGGTGCGCCTTGCCTCCACCCACTTCCCATTCTGCTTCTGAGCCCCCTTAATGTCACAGTCAAGACTTAAGAAAAATTCGGTCAGATTGGTCACGGGAACATGGATTTTATAGACTGGTGGTTCTCGTGGAGGTGATTGGATCCCCAGGGAGCGTCAGTGGAGACAATGATGCTTGACATGTTGAGGAGGGGAGAGGCATAAGGGGATGCCACTGACATTTACTGGGAAGAGATCAGGGCTGTTGCTATCCTACCATGACCAGCAAGGTCCCCAAGGAATGACCCAATCCAAAATGTCTAAAGTGCTGAAGTTGAGAAAGTGTGCTATCAATTTATTTAAATAGCAGCCCCTCCAGACCCTTATAAATCCCTCTACGAAAGTTCCATTGAAGAAAAGTTTATGAGTCTATCAGCAGTTATCTATTGTCTTCATAAGCCATTGGAAGGCACTAAGGAAGGAATGGTGTATCTTCACAGCACTCCATTTAGTTTATCATTACCATTTAGTTTATCAGCCCAAGCTAACATATACCACTATAGGGAATTACTTTAGAAATCTCTTTTGCTTAAAGCAAGACAAAGCTGTACTTACATTCCTAAAAGCACAGGCACCTTAATTTGTGGGCTTGGTGGAAGAGAACTCAGAACAGCTCATCTGAGATCTCACAGGAATTATCATGGGGTTACTGTGGTCTCCTAGGCCAGGGGGAAATGACAGCCTCTCTGCTCTGTCCTTTCCTCCCCCAGGACTGCACTATCTGTATGGAGCGCCTCACAGCCCCCTCAGGCTACAAGGGTCCTCAGCCTACAGTCAAGCCTGACCTGGTGGGAAAGCTGTCCAGGTGTGGCCACATATATCACATCTACTGCCTGGTCGCCATGTACAACAATGGGAACAAGGTTAGTGCTGGCTTTGGGGGCTGCTGACCACTCACACACACACACACACACACACACACACACTGGGATATGGATCATGAAGCATGAGGCCCTGTGTAGTCCTCACCCGGGTGTTTTTGGGTATCCTAGATGCATCCCAGACCAATGGGAGTGACAATCTTGGTTATTCTCAGCTGGATCAATTATCCACCTTATTGCCACATTGACTAAAGTCTATTTTTCACCTTCCCTTTGGGTCTTGCTACCCAACTGTCCCAATGTTGATTGTGGCTATCAATGGAAAATGGATTTGATTCATAGAGTACTGAAAAAGTGACCCATTGTTGCAGCTCATTGCTAGGCCAATGTTGGCCCCTGGTGAACCCTATTGATGCTGGTGTAATGGATTTCCCAGTCAGCTAGTGAATCTTGTTTATAGTCTGTTGTCTTTAAACAACCATCAAGGTGTCCCTTCAAAGATACATCCACTTTTGCCACAGTGCGCCTGGCACCCTGGAACTCCTCTGTTGGAAGAGGGGAAGGTTGTATGGTGCTTGTCTGTTAATAGACTGTGGGGTGGTCTCAGCCTTGAGAGCTGATTTCCAGGTCTCTGGGAGTCTTCCTCCATGAGCGTTCTCTCCTGCCAGTGTCTGAGGTCTTTCTGAGTCATTGGCTTTTCTCGTGGTCTTTCCTCTGCCTGGAATACATGTCATCTCTCTTCACCTCCTCATCTCTCCAGACTTGCCTTGGAGATTTCACAAATAACTTCCGGCTTTTTACTCATTCCCCAAAGTATCTAGTTCCTGGGGACTACTCCATGAGCCTTGTGTCTGAGAAACAACAAGAGGCAGCAGATCCTGCTAAATCCTGGCTTCTCAGCTGCGGGACCTGGGGCAAGATGCTTCACCATCTCTGGGAAGACATTTTCCATCTGGAACATGGAAATAAAACAGCCCCTGCTTTAGAGACAGTTAATACTGTTATTATTCAAGTTGATATTTCGCTTGTGTTGTATCTATCATTATCCACCCCCCCTTTCATCCTTATATACAGTTTAAGTTCCCAACGTGCTAATCTTGAGCTCTTTCTCAGAGTTCCAGATGGCCAGGCTTTTAGGGGATGCCAATCACTGATAGACAATGCAAATCCAGATCCCACATTTCACGTTCCCAACTCCAGAGCCAGAATTTTCAGATGGACATTACATTTTCATAAGTCCTTTTGGATTTATACGGGTTTGTTAGCACACTCATTACCATTTTGGTAAAAAAAAAAAAAGCATTCAGCTGAAGTAACTATTAGCAAGAAATATCTATACACTCTGCCTTTCTTTATATGGTGTCTCAAAAGTATTCTGCCAGATGCCATCCTTGGCTCTCTTTGCACCAGGACTTTGAATCATCTGCTGTTACAACAGTTCCATGAAGTGAGTAGGACTTGAATGGAAGTCTCATTAGCTCAGCTGTGAATCTCTGTCTTCCAGAAGCTGCAGGAATGTCCCCGAGAGCTTTGGTCCCAGCTGTGTGATGGCATAGTGAACAGACATCTCTCCCTGCCTGTGTGTGCCTAGCTTCTCCTCACCCCCGTTCTTTCCGTGAGCCCAGGAACGGGGTTTGTGCTTGGCTGCCCCCCTCCTCTCCAGGCAGCGCCTGCCCAGTTCTCTCTATCAAACCACAGTTCTTGACATCTCTGAAGGCAGAACCTCTGTCCTCCTCTCTCCCTGCAAGCAGGGCCAATGAGGTGTGGTTCAGGGCCTGGGGGGGCTTATGTAGACTCCTGGAGCCCCCGCTGTGAGTGGCAGTGGGTCCTTTCAGATTGCTGTGACTCAGTTTCCTCCCAGATGGAAGGAGGCCAATAACTTCTTCCTGATTAATGTCAGAAATTTAGGCCTCAAAACCACAAGAGATGTAGATTCTGTTGTGGGATTTAGAATATCCTAATCCATGCATGATGTCATTCCCTCCTCTAGTTATCAATGTAGAACTTACCCTCCACCCTCTAGATTTTTCAAAGATGATTTTTTAAAAAAACATACACACACACACATATATATATATATACACATATCTGCTTTTTATTTGAAAGACAGAGAAACAAAGAGAGTTATCCTCCATCCTCTGATTTGCTCCTCAGATTTTCTAGAACAGGGCCAGGCTGAAGCCAGGAGTGACCAACTCCATCCTGGTCTCCCACACAGATGACAAAGAGCCCCAGTAATTCTTCCCACTGGACACATTTGTAGGGAACTGGATGGGAAGTGGAGTAGCCGTGACTTCAGCTGGCACTCCAGTTGGAATGTTGATGTCATAAGTGGTGCACTAACACACTGCACCACAATACCAGCCCCTAGGACCATTTTCTCCCAGTCATCCTCTCTTGCTCCAACCCATTAGTGTTAAACTGCTCTTGTCACAGCAAGGGCTTTCAAACTTGCATGCATGGTAGTCTTCCCCACAGAAACCAGAATACTTTCTATCAGAAACCGCTTCCTATGGATCATCTCATTTAATCCAACAATCAGTGAGGCATATATTCCCCTTGTCCCAGCTCCCTAAGAAAGCAGAGTGATCCCTTAATTTGTCCGAGGTGTTCAGAAGGGAGGGAGATGGCAGATCTGAGAACCAAAGAGGCAGTTTGACTTCACTGTTCACATTGAAACCACTACACTTTGAAGCCTCCCGGTTCTAATTCACTGAGCCTGATGTGGGATTCAAGCATCTTTACTGTTAACAGGTTTCTGTTCTCAGCAGCTGGCTGGTTTCCTGCTGTGTATTGCACTCCTCTGCTACTTAGAGCCTAAATGAATTTGCTCTGTGTGTGTGTGTGTGTGTGTGTGTGTTCCCCCACACCAGCAAGCTGCACTCTGTCTCAAGGACAGACATGTCTCTTTCATGTCAGCTACAAGGGCCTTTGAGGATATTTGTGGAATTGAACTCTTTACCACTTTGGGGAGTAGAAAGGGCCTGAGCAGCTGGGCCAGTTTCGGACCTAATGCTGGTTGGCGTTCATTTTGTCTCCCCTTTGTCTCTGACACCTTTTGGAGCTGGGTGGAGAGCTCATTGTTGGCACAGTTTGCAGCCTGGCTCTTCTGGCCTTGCCCTCTCAGGATGGAAGTCTGCAGTGCCCAACCTGCAAGACCATCTACGGGGTGAAGACAGGCACCCAGCCTCCTGGGAAGATGGAGTACCACCTGATCCCGCACTCCTTGCCAGGCCACCCAGACTGTAAAACCATCCGCATCATCTACAGCATCCCCCCTGGTATTCAGGTGAGCCCACCCTCAGCGCTAGACGTTTGAAGTTGAAATTTGTGCAGCTACAATATTACACTGTGGAAATCTCCTCCCCACCCTTGTCCTCCTACGTGTGCATTCTCAACCCCTCAACTTCCTCCCCAGTAACCACCATTGTTCTTTCTGATACCGCCATCAGGGTTCTTTGTGCATTTGCAACTGACATTGCATCCACCCCTCCTGTTTTTCCACAGAGTGACATTTTGGGCACATTGTTTTGCATCCTGTATTTTTCAATGAATAATACAGTCTATGGATCTTTTCATGTTGGTGTAGAGAGCTTCCTCATTCTTTCTTATGTCTGTATAATAATCCATTGTATAAATGCCCTTTAATATATAGTCAACAGTCTATATTTGATGGACATATGCATTGTTTCCAGTCTTTTGCTACAACAAATAATGCCATAATGCTGCAACCTTATATATACACATGGGTGTATCTATAGAATAATTCTTTAGAAGTAGAGTTTCTTTGCCAAGTGATATTTGCATCTGCAATTTGATATATCCTCAGCTTTGATATTTTGTGGGCCTTTCTTGTCTCTTGTCATTAAAAGACAGTTGTAATGAACAAATTCAAAAAAATCCCTCATAGTTATTATATGTCAGTTTGATCCTTCACATGATGAAGCTTTTTAAAATTTTTACTTATTTATTTTACCAATTCCAAAAGAACTGGTAAGAGAGCTCAAAATGTTATAGGGTGCGGAGTGGGTTCATACACTTGATAGATATTTACTAGTTCTCCCTCTTCCTCTCTCCTACTTGTCTTCTACCACTTTTTCTTTTTTTAGAAAAGATTTGTTTATGTAATTGAAAGAGTCACAGGGAGGAAGACGGACATACAACATGTGTGCACACACATTCAGAGAGAGACAATGAGAGAGAGACCTTTTCTCCTCTGGTACACATTCCCACATTACTACAATGATCGGATGTAGTCCAAGACAAATCCAGGAGCCTAAAACGCCATCCTGGTCTCCCATGTGGGTGGCAGCTGACTCGGTCATTTGGACCATCTCACACTGCTTTCCCAGGCACGTTAGCTGGGAGCTGGATTCGAAGTAAAGCATCTGAAACTCAAATGCACACTCATGTGGATGCCAGAAACTGCCTCACAATCCAGTCCTTTATCTCTTCTTTAACAAGCATTTCAATGTGGAGTATGATCTAGGGATGTTCCAAGTGCTGGGGAGACAATAAGCTACATTAAGTCAGTCCTTGCTCCCTGAAGTTCTCTTTGTAGTGGTGCCAGAAAGACAACAAAGTCAGCAAGCAAATAAATAAGCAACTTTCAAATAGTGGCAAGTCAGATAGCGGAAATAAAAGAGAAAGGCGTGATTTCCTGTGGAAGAATTAAATAAAAGCTGATTCTTCTTTGAGGGACCAGCCAGCCAGCCGGCCAGAGAAGGAAACACACACTTCACTAATCCAGCTGCCGAACAAAACATTGATGGGCGCCCTTGATAAAAGCTATGACAGTCAGTGTACAGAGTGGATTCATGAACCTGCCAAAGCCTCATAAAACTGGCTGATGGTTTAGGACAGACACTTGACCTTTCTGAACTGGATTTACTCACCTGTACTACTGGACACCAAACACGCAGATCTGAGATGAGGAGGCAACCCTTACACCTGCACAGTAGTCAGGGGCTCCGCGTCTGGTCACCAGCACCCTTTGAGTGTCCTACTTTGTAAGGAGGAAGGCTTCTGTCTCCCTGCCAGGTAGAGTTTGGGATGACTCTGTTACAGGGCACTCTTGTAGCTCAGTGTTGAGAGACATGGAGAAATGGAGGGCATTTTTATGTGGAGTTCACAACAGAGTCTAGAAAGTAGGAAGTGGTGATGTCCAAAGGCAGTAAGAGCCAATGAATGGCAAAGGGGGTGTGGAAAGGAAACATGGAGATCTGGAAGACTGGGAAGTGAGCCAAGTTTTAAACCAGGTCAGAGAAGGCCTTGAGCAAGGTAGGCTGGGGGCCACAGAGTGTACTGACCACGCTTCGGAGAGCCTCTGAAGGTTGTTAATGTGTGATCAGGTTTACGGGACACTACAAGATTAGGAATAAGTCAGGCTAGAGTGAGACATGACCAGGGGAAAGAACTGCAGTTAATCCAACAAGCTGCTGCAGGAGTTTCGGTCAACTAGTGATGGGGCCTGACCATGGCAAGGGCGGGAGTGAGGTGTTACCATTGGATGTGAGTCAGGGGAGTTCTCTGGAATGATTCTGAGGTTGTTCAGGGCAACAGGCGTGGGAACACAAATCTACAAGTCAGACACAGCAGATGACATTGACAGGAAGAAGACAGACCAATGCAAGTGAAGATGAGGTGGGGCAACTGTCTTGGAACAGGCCCTTTTTCCCAGTTTCCAAGGCTAAGGAAAAGGGAACCTGCACTAGTGTATAGAGATGGCCAAATGCCACTTCTACCAAGGCCCTGGCTCCCATGGGGAACCCTCAGCGTGTTTCAGGGGAAGTGCATCTCCCTGTGGTGAGCACCACTGTTCCATAGACTCACCGAGGGTTAGCAGCAGGACGTTCAGCAGCCCAGTCTGGGAACCACACGGGATTGGGCTTCTGTGAGGAGCAGAGTCTTTGAGTGTTGCTTTCACTGCAGGGGCTAATTCCCTGGGCAGGAATCCAGGGACTGGGCCAAGGTCATAATGGCCCTGGTTGCTCACAGCCTTGCTGGGTCAGTGCCTACAGACTGTGAGTCAGCCACACCATGGGCCCCCTCAGGCAGGAGCAGAGTGGTTAGAGCCGCTGCTGAAGTTGACTTTCAGCCAGGCAGCCAGGCTTAGTGATAACATTGGCCATGGAAATGTTATACATTTGTAATGATTTTCCACAAATGTGCAGTTCCTGTATGTCTGATTTCGCATCTCCAGAGAGACACTGTTAGGTCTTTCATCTGTCTGAGACCCCATGGCACCTGTCTTACCATTCAGGCAGCCACACAATCCATGATCTTCCATCATGACTTTGAAAACTATTAAAACGAGAGAAACCTGTTTTTTAATCATCTGTAACCATTTCCATAAAAGAGAAAATGAAAAATCTATTTCCTTGCAGTTTGGCCATTTATTCACTCACATCTGTTGAGCCAAAGCACAGTTCCTGATCATCTGTGTGAAAGCTTGGGCCAGTTGCCATATGGGATTATCAGGGTATAATGATTGCGCCTAGAGGTTTTAAGCAGGACTCCATCCCCAAAGCAGGGCTCGGGAGCGCTTAGAAAAAGCAGATGGAAATTTGTGTACAGAGAGGAGAATTATGCACCATTCCAGGGAGAAAATCGGTTGCTTTTCACAGGTTTCTTAAAGGAACTCGAGGACTATGACTCAGTTGTGTTTCAGTTTCTTTCCCTCCCAAAAGCAGTCATGGGTGACAATATTGACATGGTACTGGATTTTTGCGTCACTAATGTCCCAAATCCACATTGTGTAAGAAAAAGTGTTAGACAAGGAAATCATTCAGAAAAGTTTGTCATCTGCCTGGCTCCTAAAGCAAAAGCATTCTCATTAAGTGTGAGACATCCAGAATTTGTGCCCCAGAAAACCTGGGCTTTCAAGCTAGCAAACTCACTAATGTAATTTAGTTCTCTGGGAATTTTTTTTCTTTCCTCAAGCAATGGATAATTATGACTATGATTAAACACAAAACTATGATGATGCTAAGATCAGACATTTACTGAAGTCTTCCTAAGCACCAGACACGACACACGCTTAACGCTCACAGCAGTTCCCGGAGGCAAGTATTCCATATCATTCCTACTGAAGAAATGGGAAGAAAATTCCCAAGGGAGGGCTCCAGGTAATCCAGCTGTAAGTCCACACGTAGCTCCAAGGATAGCAAAACATGTGTGTTCCATGGCTATCGCACTGCTATTCCCTGTCCAGATTCTGTGCTTGTCGTTACTATCATCATCATCCTAATTTACTCCACTCAGCAGAAGCGGTTTGATAAGAATGCCCTTGCTTCCTTTTTAGGGGCCAGAGCATCCAAATCCTGGGAAGAGTTTCAGTGCCCGTGGCTTCCCACGACACTGTTACCTTCCAGACAGCGAGAAAGGGAGGAAGGTAAGAGCAGAGGGTGCGGGGTTTTCTTTGCATGTTCAGGACTGATGTTTTGCTTCCTACAGTGCACTGGGTCTTTTTGAACTCTCGGTGATGGTTCATATTTACATCTACAACAGGGAAGGGCAAATGGGAGTAGAAATTCTTTAGCAGAAGCAGGAGACAGGGCTTTGGGCACCCCCCCGCCCCCTGGAGATCATTAGCAATAATCCTTTGGTTGTAGGAACCTTTGCCTAGAGTGTTAGTCTTACAGGCTGATCCTGGATCCGATCCAAGACCAGGGATGACATCTGGGAGCTTGTTCTCTTCACCTAGAGCTGAAGAGGCTCGTGTCTATCTCTGCAGGACAGCTTCCAGCCCCTGACTCCAGTTTCTTGCCAATGGAGACCCTACAGGCAGGGGTGACAGTTCAAGTGTTTGAGCTCTTGCCACTCCTGTGGGAACCTGGACTGAATCCCTGATTCCTGACTTTGTTCCTGTTGCTGTCCCAACCCTGGCCATCACAGGGACTTAGGGAGTGAGACGGCAGATACGAGGTCATTCTCTGTATGTCTTGGTCTCCTTCCCTCAAATTTTTAAAGCATAAAAAGAAAAAAGAAATCTGGAAGTAAGGCCTCCTTCATCTAAACAAGCACTATCACTGATCTGACATCACACTAAAGTTGTAACTGGTGGCAGGTTATTTTCTTCTTCTACTCTTGTGCATTTCTTGGATGTTTTTCCCCAGAAGGTCAAAGGGAACAGTCACTGAGTTTTTGGATTCTGAGGGCTCATGATCAGACGTTAGCGGTTCTGCGAACCGTAACATTAACATTTTTAAAGTATGTTCATTATTGTATGTATGAGACCAGCAAAAATAGTAGATTTTCACAGTCTTTCATAGTCTGAAAAGAGATAAGAACCACCGGCCTAAAGGAAGCTCTGGGAAAATGTTGGGCAAGACGTGTGTTTTACTTAGCTCTCCTTCCAAATGTCGGCAACAAATTTGAGCACCCTTATGTCTCATGCACCTTGCGTGTCAGCGAGTCAGGGTGCAGAACAGTGTCTTATAATCTCAGCGATTTGGAGGCTGAGAAGTAGAAGAGTATAGCACTGCCTGGTGAGGGCCCATTTCCTGTTCCCGGATGGTGCCCTCTTGCTGTGTTCGGACACAGCCCAAGGGATAGAGGGACCCGTAATCCAACTTGGAAGTGCTCCAGTCCAACTTATGCAGTAATAATCATCTCTCAAAGGACCTATTTCCTAATATTATCACCTTGGGGGTGGGGATGAGGATTTCAACAGCTGAATTTGGGAGGAACATAAACATTCGGACCCAGTAGTCAGCTCCACTCAGCTCCATATGTCTTCTTCACCTCCTGAAACCAAGTTAAAGGAGCAGCTCCACTGTGATCCTGTCCCTTTCCAGGGAATCAGGATGAGGGCCAAAAAAGGAAATTTGCGTGGACATGTGTAAGCCTGATTCAGAGCCCCTGGAGGCTTGTTACTGCATCGCAAGCTGTCATAGACCTGATGGCATCAGATGCGAGTGGGGACTGAGTGCACCACGATGGGTGCTTGAAACAGTGAGAGAACTAGTAGTGATGGTAGGCCAATGCACGGTGCCCAGCCTTGATGCCTCATTGCTTTCCACAGCCTGGTTTCTGTGTCCGTACCTGCTCCCCAGCTCTTGGCTGAATGACTCTGCTGTGTAGTTGTACAGCTAAAATTGGAGTCCTGTTGCCAGGGGCTGCCCTTCCTGCAGGGCTCCCTCCATAAACTCCTACAACTTGTTACGATGTGGACCTCAGCCTTTCCCTCCCGGTCATTCTCTACCTTGCTGCTTCGCATCAGCATCCCAGCATCAGCATCCCAGGACCCTGACTGTGACCTTCAAAACAGAGGAAAGTGTGGCAACAGAGTATAGACTTACTGTTAAACCAACCCAGGCTCAGTCCTAGTTTGACTGTTAGTGAGGATTGGCAAACAGCTGTGTGCCATCAGGCCTCCGGTGTCTAATACATACTGAGCAGCAATAATATCTAACCAGGTGGACAAAGCATTGTGTTCCTGAGAGGAGCATTGGTAAGCTAGGAACTGTTGTAACTGTCTGTGGTTTGGAATGGTGGACTCACATTTATTTACTGAATCTGCTCATCCTCCTCATATCTCAAGTTCTCCCCTTACTCCAAAACTCAGCGCAGAGACACCCTCCTCCGTGTAATCTGTCTTGTTCCCCATCTGAGGATTAAGAGTATGATCTCTCACAGCGTGAGTTGTGGGCTCAGAAGGTCAAGGTTCACACTCCAGCCTTGACAGCTTACTCTAAGACAAAGGCAAGTCTTTTTATCTTCTGAATCTGTCCTACTCTGAAAACAGTGCACAACAAGAGAACCTATCTCATCCGGCTCATCCAGTTCTTCTAACGTTACTTGACCCAATGTCTGACGGTTTATAAGTGCTTACTCAGGAAGTGGCAGATAGCTCCCTTTGTAAGGTCTATTATTATTATTATTACTGATATTCTTGTAATTTATCACCCTCAGAGTTTTTTTATTAAAGATTTATTTTTATTACAAAGTCAGATATACAGAGAGGAGGAGAGACAGAGAGGAAGCTCTTCTGTCCGATGACTCACTCCCCAAGAGAGCACAACAGCCAGTGCTGTGCCAATCTGAAGCCAGGATCCAGGAGCTCTTCCAGGTCTCCCACGCGGGTGCAGGGTCCCAAGGCTTTAGGCCGTCCTCGACTGCTTTCCCAGGCCACAAGCAAGGAGCTGGATGGGAAGTGGAGCTGCCAGGATTAGAACCGGCGCCCATGTGGGATCCTGGCATGTTCAAGGTGAGGACTTTAGCCACTAGGCCGCCACGCAGGGTCCACCTTCAGAGTTTTGAACTCAGGACATCTTTATTGGGTGTTTTCTTCCTGCTGACCAATGCCTGCTGACCAAGGCCTCAAGCAGGGAATCATATATTAGTCTTGCTCAACAAAGATATGTATTATTTTTCATTTAGTTGAATTAGAACATTCTGCAGGCCACCATATTATTATCTGGGTTTCAGTTTCCCCATCAGTAAAACAGGGGCAACAAACACCATGTCAGCTGCAGGTAAGTTAGTATCCCATTGAGACAGTGGTGACAGTGAAAGGAAGACCTCCCAAAGTGTTCCGCTCATAAGTGCCTCTCCAAAATGCAACCTTTATGGCACCAGCTAACATTGTTTAGGTAGTGTGTTCCATGCACTAGCATAAAAATGCTCTTCAGACAGGGCCCATAAAATGTCCACACTTTTGGAAATAGATCATAATAAATAAGAAAATGGAAGCTCAGAGAGGTGCTGCAACTTCTCCAAAGTGACAAAGCCAAAACTCAACTCATAGCCGCCTGACTACACATTCAAATGCCTGTCTCTGCCACTCTGTTGCTCAGGGCATCACGATACGGACAGGGGTGGGACCGTAGGAAGGACACTGTTGTCCAAGGGAAAGCTTTCGAGCAACACTGACTTCCCACCTTGGGTCTCCCATCTTTGCCCCACTAGGTTCTCAAGCTGCTGCTTGTGGCCTGGGATCGCCGCCTCATCTTCGCCATCGGTACTTCCAGCACCACGGGGGAATCAGATACCGTCATCTGGAATGAGGTCCACCACAAGACAGAGTTTGGCTCTAACCTCACTGGCCACGGTTACCCAGATGCCAATTACCTGGATAACGTGCTGGCTGAACTGGCTGCCCAGGGCATCTCGGAGGACAGTACTGCCCAGGAGAAGGACTGAAGCTGGGAGACTCTTGAAGTAGGAGGGGGCCATGGAGGGCACACAGGGAGGAGGGTCTAGGTGCCATTTGGTGCCATGCCTCTCAACACCCACATCTCCCCTTCTGTCTTGTCCCTAGCCCTCACCCCTCTCAGTCTAGCAACCAGGGGGAGATAGACTGAATACAGTGTTGTCATTCATGAACCTCATCCAATACGAAGAGGGCATGAGATGAAGGCCATGCTGGGTCGGTTCCCGTGGAGTTGTTGGTGCTGGTTAGGATGCAAGCCTCACCCCCTCCACATGCCCCAATCAGGGGTATGGTCAGCACACACAGGGTACAGACCATGCAAGGGCACTCCACACCCCAGCCTACGAGACCCAATGCTCCTGGCCTCAGCTAGCTTTCTTGCTGCTTCCACTCCAAATGAGAGTGGAGTTTCACTTTTCTCTCCTCCACAGGAGGCAGGGAGCTCTCACTGTGCAAGGTTGGGGAATGAAGGGGTGAACCACTCTCCTGTTGTAACAGCAGAAGTCAGATGCCTCTATGTGGAGTGAGGAAGCCCTCCCTGCTGTGAGGGTCAGAAACCTCTGGAAGCCGTATCGACTCTCATCATGGTCCTTGGGCTTCTCTGGACCCTCCCCTCCTCCTCGCACCTCTGGGGTGGTTGGGCTCTGGGACGTCTCTGGGTTGGCATTCCACAATGCTGTTTTTAGCCCCTCTCTGATCAAACCAGAGCCTACATCCATTGAGCATCTGAACTGTCCTCAGGGAGAGGAGCCTATAGCCTTCTTCCCAACGCATCCCAGATCAGCTCAAAGATTCCATGAGTTTCATCAAGTCACTGTGACTGGAGCCCATACTGGGCTTTGTGCCATCTGTGTATGTGTGTGGGTGTGGCAGAGCCCCATCACAGTCCTCATTCTGTCTTGCATGATGCCAGACTCTGGTTCTGAGAAGGATTGAACAGTTGAGTTGTGGTCCTTTTGTTCACCCCATCCCATCATAAGCTTAAACCTGGTGGACACAGAACTGTGCTGGAGGAGATGTGATGAGGTGATGGGACTGGATCAGAGCCAATTCCATCCAGTCCTTTTTACCATGTCTTTGATGCAGTTTTGCTCATCAAAGCCCAGAGATGGTGCTGACTTGGAACAGACAGGAAGCCTTGTCAGCCCGTTTCTAACTGGTTGCAGTTCCATTATGATTTGGTCCAGGTTGTATCTTCATTGTGTCCCCAGGCCCTAATTCCTCCCACATATGCCTCTTGCCTCTTATTCTCCTTAAAGAAGGAATTGCGGATCAGGAAGGATCAAGAAGGGAAAAACAATTGCCCCTTTGAAAGTGGGTTCTTTGAGCTATATGTCTGGGGCAAGTTCCTCTGATGCTCATTTGAATTTATATACCTCATGTTCTGGAGGTTTGACGTATACAGATGCATATGTGTTTCATAGTATTTGAAATGATTTTTATGCTAGGAAAATTAAAACAAAGGAACTTTCAAAATGGTACTGGTGTTACAATGGGAGGCCCTGGTGTGGCAGTGTCTTCACCGGAGGATCACCCTGTTCTTAAGGACAGGACACAGGGCTGTTGAGCCTTGTCTCACTCTAATGGCCTCGGGCTGTTTATTGACTGTACCAGAGGGAGCTCCGATAGGAGGAACCATTCCTTCACCAGCAAACCAGAACCCAGATCCTGAGCTCCCTGCACCATGGGGCAATTTCCTGCCACAATTGACAAGGAAACATCTGAACCAAGTGAAAGAGGCATTCCTATGGTGCTTAATGCCACGACCGCATCCTTGGCCAGCTTATGGAGTGTCAAAGATTGCTGGAGAGCCTCGAGGTAGGCTTAGTATCATGCGTATCTTCAACACCCATGGCCAGGAAAAAAAAGAAAAAAAAAAAGAGGGGGCACTAGGAGGTAGGGAAGGGAAGAAAACACACATCGACAGCTAGAAACAGACCCTGGGGGAGAGGCTGGCTCCCCTGCATCAGGCAGAAGTAGGCACAGGTGGGGAAGCAGCAGCCCAAAGAGACTGTGTCGGAGGGTCCGTGCTGCAGTGGTCCTGCCGCTTTGAGAGTTTGTCTTCATGCTTCAAGTCTTTCTGGGGTTTGGATTGTGTCTGCACCCTGTTCTCTCCCTGTCTGGGCATGCTCAGTAGGAGCTACCTCATCCTTGTGCCACTCTCCCTATGGGACTTGTTAGACGAAAGAGATCCAGAATTCCCTCCCAACACTGGGCTGGGCAAGGCAAAAGGCGTATTTTGCTCCTTCTCTCAGCTGGAATGCCACCAGCAGGGCCCTGTGCAGACTACTGTGACACAGGACACGGTCCCACCAGAAGCCCTGCTGTGCTCTCCTAGCCCAAGTGGCAGATTCCATGCTGCTCCTTCCATGGTCTTAGCACCAGCAGCATGGCTTCACCCTGCCCGAGTCTCCAGGGATGGAGAACAGGATTGGAGACCAAACTTACCGGATGCTTATCCATCGAAAGATCAGATGTGTATATGTGGTTGTATGTGCCTTTGTGTCTTCATTTCCCTCCTGCTCTACCTTTTTTTTTTTTTTTGTAAAATCTGGACTCTGTGGTTTTATACTTGGTCAAAAGTACTTGTCCTGGTATTGCACTGTGATGTGCATGAAGAGGATTGGGGGGAGGTCCATGTGGTACAAGAAAGGCCCCTCGTGCCCCCCTTTCCTTATCTGTGGTTGCCCAGCATCTCAGTGGGGGTTGGGGGCGGGGACAGATGTATGTCCTAACGTGAATTGTTCTGTTGACTGGTGTGTTTTGAAGTCCTTGGTGTTGCTCTGTGAGAGGACATCGCCACCTGGTGCTCTTGAGGTGTATGTGCAGAACAATAAATGGCAAATGAACAACCACAATGTACTGTTGACCTTCTGCTTTCTGCAGATGCAGGTACCTCTCCGAGTCCATAAACAACCACAAGTCTTTACACTGGATGCTGGTGGGGGAGTCCCTTCCCTGTATTTTAACTTTCTTTACCACCCACAAATCTGATCTGGCTTGATTCCCAGTCCCCTGAAGAAGTAAACCGCACACATGGCAGAGGAAATGAAGAAGTGATCTTGGGGGAACACCACTCTAAATTCACGAACATTCACTTTAAAAAAAAAAAACGTTTATTTGAAAAGCAGAGGGAGAGGGAGGAGATAAGACCACCTTCATGTGCTGGGACACTCCACAGATGGCCACAATGTCCAGGACAGAGCTGGGCCGTAGCCAAGAGCCTGGAACTCCTTCTGGGTCTCCCGTGTAACAAGGGTTCAAGTACTTGTGCCATATTCTTCTCCTTTCCCAAGCATATCATCAGGGAGCTGGATCAGAAGCAGAGCAGCTAGGACTCAAACTGGCCTTCCAACACGAGATGTCAACAGCACAGACAGCAGTTAACCGGCTGTGCCACAACATCAGCCCCGGAGATTTACTGTTTAAGGGCCCCTTCACCTGACTCAGTTGTTCACAGGCTGGTTTTTTTTTTTTTCTTATTACATGTTCAGTGCCATCATCATGATACTAATGAGAACACAAAAATAAAAAACACACATAAAGCTACCTGCAGCACCTGACTTTCTCTCCATTTCTCATAACCCACTGGGTGTGGATTCTTTAGAAGCCAGGATGAATCCTTCCATAATTCCCAGCCCGAGACCACCAGGACTCAGAACTCAGAGGCCCTGAGCTCTCCCATCAAGTTCCAGCCTTGCAGAATGATATGGCAAATGTTGCTTTCAAAAGGATGAACATTCGGAGTGCTCCCTTGTCTCTATCTTAATTCATACTGCTATGTTGTTTGGTTCGTAGAAATGTTAGCATGTGAAAAACAGTCTTTTTTGGTGAGCAGTTAGTACATTAAAGGTCTGGGAATCATTGGTTATATTCAGTATTCTTCAAAGAAGTTACTGGAAAATCAGTATTTGCCAAAAAGTGGTTAGCTTGCTTGCAACATAGGCAACAACCCCAAAGACCACAGAACACCCAGAGGTTTCGAACGTGTCAGTGCTTGCAAGCCAGAGTTAAATGTTCAAGTTGTTGAAACCCATGACTTTGGCCGGGCCGGCCAGGAAGTCAGGCTCAAATTCTCTATATCTGACTTGGAAATTAAGGGGTCAGCCGTGGATCTTACTTGCAAGTATTAACACAGAAAGAACAAACTATCCTTCAGAGACAATATAATTCACTAATCATGTTTGATTGGGGAAGTAAAAATATACAATTTTTAAACTGTTGTGGAGAAACATTGATGGTGTTGAAATACTTAACATTTAGGTGAACCAGGCGTTGGAACTGAGCAAAAACCCAAATGTTTCCAGATGACACTCTTGGCATCCTGTGGATGCCCCAGGGAACTCAGCTTGAAACAAGTGAGTGGCGCTGGATGCCTCTTTTGGTTTACTTAAACATATAGGCTGATCATGTCAACCCCCTTTCTGCTGGGGGGAAAGAAAAGGTAGGGTGTCTTACTGCTGCTTTCTGCTTGGCTTTAATTTTCAGGGTGGATGTAACAGTAACAATGATTGATTTCTTGTGCGCGCGCGTGTGTGTGTGTGTGTGTGTGTGTGTGTGTACGCATGCATTTGAGGGGAAATGAAGCAGCAGGGGGCATGTGTAGAAGAGGAAAGAATATAACACTGTGATTCTTGATCTTTCCAAGTCTGCATCCCTCTTAGTGTCCCTTTATGATGAGCCAAGAGAAAGCTCCATTAGCCGGTTGTGAGCACAAGTCCTAGCGTCCCCTCAGCACCAAAGACTCTCTCCTGGGTTTTATCTTTGCTGACCTCCCGTCTTCTACTCATCTATCCCCTTTGACTGTAATGGAACTCTATGTGTTAAAATATTTTCTGAGGATCTGACAATAAGAAGCGAGGGGTTATCTGGCCTAAACAAGTCTTCCTATTGGAGCAATTGAGAGAAAGCAACATAAAAGGAGTGCGTGTTTAAAAGCAGAAATTCCTGTAGCTCACAAAATTGCAAACCAGGCAGACCACAGATTAAAACCACAATTTCCATACCCAAATGTCAGCATTCCCCCTCTTTTCTTTTTACATACATGTAGCTAGATGAAAACCACTGGGGATACACATACCTGGAAAGGAGTATCCCCTTTATGGATGAGTCCTCAGGGTGGATTCTTCTTTAAAAGCCACTACAGCTCCCTGTCCCCACCCACCACCTTGTCTGCATGGCTCCATTTATTTCCTGGCACAGAGATCTAAACAAGAGGTTACAAAACCGTACCTGCTTTTGGTTGCACTTGCCTCTTCAGGACTTAGCAGGGCAGAAGTAGAGAGAGAAGTAAGGAAAGACAGATTTGAAGCTGTGGTTACAGAGAAAGTAAACCACTTGGCACGAAGAAATTTAAACTGAGTTGTGTTCCTGTTCCATAGCAGGGGTGTTTCCGCCTGGGGTGATGTCTGGCACTAGGCTCTGCCTCTCATCATCGATTGTCTGGTATTCCTTCTTCTTGTACTTCCGGGTGCCATAGATGGCCAGGGCGATGACAGTTGCCAAGAAGCTGGTGACCGCAAGTGTGACCCCAGCCGCTGCCCATCCTGACAGACCGTCACCTTCCCCATGGATGTCCTTCCTGGCCCTGCGCAGTTCCAAAGGCTCTCCTAGCCGCCACTGCTGGGTCTGAGAGTCTTTAATCCAGGATCTGACATTCTCAGTATTGGTCACTATGACGGTGTTGGTGGCAGCCTGACTCATGACAGGTGGCCGCGTGTAAGGCGGGAGCCTGGCAGGTGGCAGGGGCCCTCCGGTGAAGATCCCAGCTTTGACACAGTAGGACACTTGACACTCATCGCTGATGAGGGCCAGGTGTTGGCTGAAGCCCCCAGGACACTTTTTCAGGGAAGGCGTGTCTACATCTCTGGAGGTTGCAGGATCCGCTAAGGGGTTTCCCGCTTCGCAACTGAAGAACCCTCCAAAGGGGACGAGAAACCTGTATCCCAATTCATAGTCCTGAGAAACACACACTTTGAGACTTCCAAAGAGCTTCAGTTGGTAATAGCTTGCTGGGCACGACTGCGCATTGGTCATGGGGTTGATGCTCTTACTGCTGAAGAGGCCCCCAAAAAGCAGCCCCGAGTTTTCAGGTACTTGGCCATTGGACACACACCAAAAAGCCCGGAATTCAGCCCTGGCCACCCGGAAAACATCTTCACACACCGTCTTACAAAAGATGAGTACCTTGCACTTGCGCCGACACTCCAAGTGGTTGTAACCCTCCTCTTGGATCTGGGTTAGAAGGCGGACTGGCGAGTAGCCAGAGGGACAAGAGAAGTTACCAGTAAGTGGATTCTTCTGCTCCAGGTTTTGGCAGAGGACATGAGCGTCACTCCCTGAGAGCTGTGTGCATTCCTGATAAACCCCACCAAAGGAGAAGTTGGTCATTTTCCCATCACAGGAGCCGTCATCCATGTTGGCTTGGAAATTGAAGTTGGGCGAATTAACATCTGTGCAGCCTGGGTAGGTGTTGAATGTGTAGTAGCGTCTCACAGCCATCTCCACTACCTTAGACAACTTCTTCACCAGGGGGGCTGGCAAGTCAGGCAGCATGTCAGGGCTAATGAAGAAGTGCAGGGGCAGGCCAGCACGGTCCACAGCCACCAGGTGGTTGTGGATGTTTTGTTGCCAGGTCTGGAGGGTGATCCCGGGGTAGAAAGGAATCCCTCCCAGGCTCTGCACCCTCGAGTTGGTTCTGTTGGAGAGGTAGCTCTTGGTGAAGCCACTCTGGGAAGTGTAGTTCTCTTCAAATTTGAAGTTCACGGTGTTGAGGAAAGCAGCTCCAGCAGATGCGGTCAGGGAGGCCCGGTTGTTCCGACTGTCCTCAAAGAAGGAGGACATTATGTGGTCCTCCTGGATGAGTGCAGCTCCGGCATCCACACTGGTGATAACGTGGGTGCCATAGTTAAGGACCAAGAGTTCTGCCAGGTAGGTGGCCATCCTCGTCTGATTGTTCTCCAGGCGGTCAGCGATGTCTGTGAGTTCCTTCCTGAAGGCCCTGCTCAGTCCTGAGTCTGGGTTGATTTTGGCTGTGTACACCAGGTTTCTGACCTGAACTCGGGTGGTTATAGCTTGATCCTTCACCTGGAGCGTCTTCATCCTCTGGAACTCAGCGGAGAATTTGCCATTGATTTTGGAAAAAAGAGAGAGCTCCGCATTGATGGAGTAGGAATTACTGCTGTGGTAATTTTTCCAGGATTCCAAGATTTCTGAGTTCAGCTCCAAGTTGCTCTGTTTTTGAGCAATGGTGAAGATTTCATCTGGAATGATGTACTGCCCATCCTCTGTGGTCCTGCAGTTGGCATAGGTCAAATTCATCACCCTTCCCATGTCCACATTCTGCAGGTTATCCCAGCCTCCTCCAGGCAGGACTTCTAGCACAGGGAGCTTCAGGGCTTCCTTGCATTTCTGAAATCCAGTTCTGTCTGTCTCCCCAGGAATTGTGGCCGCTGCCATCCAGGCTGCCACAGCCCAGGAAAGGACGGCAATGCTGAAGTTCTTCATGGCTCAGGCTGCCTCAGCCACACACCACCCCGAGGCAGGGGCGAGGAAGCCTGTTGCAAACTGAACGGATTGAAAAGAAGGCAATTACTGAAACAAACATTTCAAGTTCTCATAGACACACCAGTTCCTCTTTAGACTGACAGAATTACAAAATGAGGAAATGAGAGCCAGTTGGAATGCTACTGCCATGAGGACTTCCAGAAATTTTGCTCTATGGGATAGGCAAATAGTTTTGTGCCCTTAAGTTCACCACCCTTACTGTCCCCAACTCCTGCTAATTACTCTGTACCCACCACGAGCCCCCAGAAAAACAATGACCCCAAGCTTACCACTTCCTCCAGCAGAAAGCGTTGGGTCTGCTTTTCGGTAACTCCTTTGGATTTGTTTTGAATTCTCTCTGACTACTTCCAACATCAGTTTCAGTTTCCTTTCTCTGAAAATGCAACTGGGAGTAGCAACATCAACTTTGTTGCTACAGCCCACTTTGACTGCAGCAGTCCAGAGCAGGTCAAGACCAGTCCTGTGCTCTCCGTTCTCATGGAGATGAAGGTTGCTCCCACAGAAGAGAAGAACAACAGCCCTGGACACGTATCCCAAGGCATTTCTGTGTTATACGCCCTGAGCATGTGGGCTTTGGAGATGGTATTATCTGGAAGAGCTACCGGGATCCAAAGAGGATTCTGTTTGCCTTATGAAAGAGATGTCTGCATTGCCTAAAGAATTGAGGGGAACAGCAAGCCTTCCTACACTGTGTTGATGCCTCTTTTCAGACCAAGAAAAGCAGCACATTGTAATCTAGATTTTGACTTACCAGAAGCAGTCAGTGCCCAAGAAATAAAAGTGCATACATCTGCCACATTCGAGGTGTGTTCATGCCACAGTTTCCACGCTGCGAGGGAGGACGGATCCACGTTATCCATCCACTGTGAAGTCTGCGCTTGACTAGGAAGCTAACCTCTGCACAGGATGCTCTAGCTAAGTTTGTCAATCAGCTAGGTGTAAGTGTATGCATCCACTGTGATGCCAGAAGTTTAAAAAGCAGAATTGAATGTCCTTGAGTATTTAATATAAGTTTGTGAAAATATCTGAACATTTGTCTTCAAGCTTATTTGGAGATAGTTCCTTAGAATAAGAATATGTCCATTTTGTACAATATTCATTTAAAAATCGTAATTAAGAGAAAGGGAGAGATGGGGGTGGGGAGGAGCTTCCACCTGCTAATTCAGTCCTGAAATAAGCGTAACTGGGTCTAGGCCTGGCAGAAGCAAAGGATCAGAAACTCCATCTGGGTCTCCTTCAGAGGTGACAGGGCCCAAACATTTGAACTACGTTGCACTGCCTTCCCAGACACCTTGCAAGACACCGTGTAGACATGCTGGTAATTTCTTAGCCTTTGTAAGATCTCTACTAGATCCTATTGGAAACTCACTCACCTGAAATGAGCGTGGAAGCAAGATGAGATAGACCATTGTGCATTCAGATGGTCCTGCTTCTCTAAATTACAAATCTTTCCCTACTTTTCTTTCTTCCTGCCTGCCTTCCTTCATTTTTCTTTTTCCTTCTTTTTTTTCCTCCATTCATTCCTTTTTATTCCCTCTCTCTCACTTCCCCCTTCTTCCTTCCATTTCACCTTCCTTCCTTCCTTTATTTCTCTCCTCCTTTTCTTTCCTTCCTTCCTTCCTCCCTCCTCTGTTTCTTTCTTTTGCTACAATCTTCCTGCTCATTTTTTATCAAAGGAAAAAAATGGCAGGGTGAGGGAACTAAAAGAGCCAACGAGAGTGGAACTGTATTGCATTTTAAGCCAAAATATCTCGTAGCCTAGTATGACTTTAGGCAATTTGGTGAACATGAGAAATTCTTATGCCATCACATTAATAAAAAGGATGACACATTCATATGACCCCAAATATACATAAACAAATACAACTAGTAAGGTGTATCCTAACCCACTATTAGTAGCCATGAATCATTTCCAAATTTTTGTCTCACTTTTTTGCATGTGTTTTGAATTTTCAACAGTGAACTTGTCAAGACACATTCTAATTGAAAATAAAATATGTACCTTATGTAATTTTATAATAATAAAATTAAGTTTGAGAACCCACTAAATATCAAACAATGAGGAGTACAAACTAATCCTCGCTTTTGTACTCAGGAAAGAATCACCAAGAATACACCTAAAAAGCAAAAGCAGCAAGTTATTCCGGAATGTTCGTCTGCCCAAAATGATCCAAAGCCTGTGGATAGCTGAATGCAAAGAAATTTTCATGTCAGTTAGCGGAGCAACAATTAAAAGGGAAGTGCCAGGGATGGCAATTTGGGCTCAATTTGAATCTTCATGCCAGGAGCAGAAAGAACAACTCATAATGGTCAGGAGTGAGGAAGTGGTGACGAGGGCTTCGACAGTACAGTTCGCCCACACCTTTCCTGTCCTGCTCTGCTCACCAGCAATTTCCTCTGCTCTTTTCTTGTCCTGAAATGCACAAGTGATCGAGTAACCGCTCCAGATGGCTGCCCTGGAGGACCGAGGGCTGGTGGCTAAAACATCAAGGTTAGACTGTGAAGGAAGGAGGCAGCTCTCCCACAAAGACAGGCACCTGCACTGCCCAACAGCAATTTCACTTCCTCCCAAAGAGACCAAAGGGAAGTCCCAAGGCAGCTTTCTTTCTCAGTTTGAGCACGTGTGAGCCTTCTGACACCATCCTCATGTGGTGCTCATGTAGCTCACAAATGAGGCTCGACTCTGTGTGGGCTTGGCTCTGGCCCAGCCGGCTCCTACTTCTGCATTTCATCTGTGGTCTGAAGTGAGAGCCTGGCCAGTGTTGCTGGGACCCCTTCCTTTTGTATTTTAAGCAGGAATCCAGGATCCTCATCTGTTAAGTAGATTCAATCGCAATAACTTTTTTTAAAATGAAGATTTATTTATTTTTATTACAAAGTCAGATATACAGAGAAGAGGAGAGACAGAGAGAAATACCTTTCGTCCAATGATTCACTCCCCAAGTGAGCACAACGGCCGGTGCTGTGCCGATCCAGAGCCAGAACCCAGGAACTTCTTTCCGGATCTCTCACACAGGTAGAGGGTCCCAAAGCTTTGGGCCATCCTCGATTACTTTCCCAGGCCACAAACAGGGAGCTGGATGGGAAGTGGAGCTGCCAGGATTAGAACTGGAGCCCATATGGGATCCTGGAGCATTCAAGGCAAGGACTTTAGCTGCTAGGCCATGCCACCGGGCCCAGATCACAATAACTTTTATAAATACTGGAATACATTTTGTTCTGGAAAATGTAGGAGGTACCAGTGAACACAGCGATCTTTTCTGCACAGGTGCTTCCTTGTGTGATGTTTTATAATCACCACAAATGCAAGAATGTGAGTTTCTGATTTCCTCTAATCTAGAGGGTAAAATTATGAGGCTCTACTGAAATCTGCATATTCCCGTTAAAAGCTAGGCCAGAGTTTGCCGGCCAATAGTATTAGTACTTTTCCCTTCCTCTTTCATGCATTCTTTCCCTATCCTTTTTTCCCTAATCAACTATTTCCTTTCTGCTTTTTCTTTTCCTTTGGAAGACATGTGTCTGTGACTCACGGAGTGTACTTCCGATGTGACAAAGAAGAGATTCGTATTACGGCGCAGCAGGCTAAACTGACGCTTGCCACGCTGACATCGGATACCAGCGAGTGGGTTCACAGTCTAGCTGCTGCACTTTGGATCCAGTTCCTTATAAACACACCAGAGACACAACAGAAGATGGCCCAAGTGGTTGGGTCCCTGCCACCCATGTGGGAGACATGGATGAAAACATGTTCCTGGCTTTGGCATAGACCAACCCTGACTGTTGAGACCATTCTGGTCTCTCCCTCTCTCTCCATTGCTCTGCCTTTCAAAAAATAAACGCTTGAAGAAGGAAATTCCAGGGGCAGGTGCAGTGTGACAAAGGAGGTTAATCCTCCACCTGCAACACTGATGTCACATCTTGACACCAGTTCATGTCCCCGTTGCTCCGCTTCCCATCCAGCTCCCTTCTTATGTTCTCTCCTTCTCTCTGTAACTCTAACTTTGAAATAAAAATAAGTAAATCTTTAAAAATCAGAAGTTCGCCAAGCTCCTTTATCCAATCTCCTCCCAGTGACAGATCTTGCCATCATACCGGTGGGTCTTTGGCCCGGGTTGCCTTTGTCCACCTCTCATCCTAGCAGGAACAATGTCCTTGCCCAACTGGCCCATACCCAGAAAGAGGGAGATCTTTCATCCACTGAACCACTCCCTAAATGGCCTCAACAGCCAGGGCCAAGCAGGGACTGTGCCAGGAGCCTGGAGCTTCACGCAGAGTTTCCACAAGAGTTGGAGGAGCACAAGTACTTGGTTCTTCTGCTGCTCTTTCAGGTGCTTTAGCGGAGAACTGGATTGGGAGTGGAGCATTCGAAACTCAACCTGCACTCGAAGGAGATGTCGCCTTCACAGGAGATGGCTGAACCTGTCTAACCACAACATCAGCCCCCATTATTAGTTATTCTTGTTTGAATTTATTTTGATAATTTTGAGCACACTCACTGCGTTTAGCTTCCACTACTTGCAAAGCAGTACTTCCAGGTTTCCCACGTAGATGCAGGGTCCCAAGGACCTGGGCCATCCTCTGCTTCCCAGACCGTAAGCAGGGAGCTGAATCAGAAACGGAGCAATTGCAACATGAATTGGTGCCCATATGTGATGCCAAGTGCTGCAGGCAGAGGGTTAGCCTGTTACACCGCTACACCAGCCCTAATAAACATTTTTATGATTAGGAATACACTATAAAAATAACAAAATGTATAGTAACTACACCAGTAGCAGCATTGTTTATCTTACTGTACTTAATGGAATGTACTATTCCATTGCTGGCACCACCTGTGGGTGTGTTTACACAAGCAATACCACAAAAGTGTGGATAATATGTATCATTACAGTTTTATGGTGGCTACAATGTTAGAACAGCTGTGATATCACCAGGGAATAACCTTGTAGCTTCATTAAAGTGTCATGGACCCACCACCATATCTCTGCTGCCATTTATCAACACGTCTTTATGCAATGCATGACAGCGCAAGCAAAATGGGACACAGTTTGGGAAGAAAGGAGGGATTACCACAGAAGCTGACCTCCTAATTGTAATAACACCTTTCCTTGCAGGCAGTCACAAGAAGGAATCAGAAAAATAGGAGATTAATAAGAAAGAGAAACAAGTCAACATTATGCAAAAAAAAAATAGGATATATTTATTTCAAATTCCCAGTTCATATAAAGCCAGATTAGAGCTCTGGAAACAAGAACCAGGGCCTCTTGCTCTGGGTTTTCTCCAAGCCTTGGCATGCAGGCAGGCTTTTCTGTTCCTCCTTTCTCTTGACCTCCAGAGTTTTAATTCCTACCTTGCAAAATGAATGCCTCACAGGACAAGCAGCGTCTGGCCAGGACTT